GCTCCATGAATTCAAGATAACTCTCAACAACAGGTTCCAAGCTCTACAGGATCTACTGAAAGAACAAGAAACTACTTTGCAGGACAACTGGAAAGGGATAAAAGAAACACTAACTTCAACGTATCAGGAGGTTCTTGGTCCTAAGAAGCATCATCACAAGGAATGGATCTCTATGGGAACCCTGGACAAAATTCAAGAAAGGAAGAACAAGAAACTAGCAATTAACAACAGCAGAACACGAGTAGAGAAAGTCAAAGCACAAGCAGACTATGCAGAAGCAAACAGGGAAGTGAAGAAAAGCATTAAAGCCGACAAGCAGAAATACATGGGAGAACTAGCAACGACGGCGGAAAAAGCTGCAAGAGAAGGGAATATGAAACAACTATATGATACAACGAAGAAATTGGCAGGGAGATATAGCAAACCAGAGAGACCAGTCAAAGACAAAGAAGGAAAGACAATCACTGAGATTCAAGAACAGAGGAAAAGATGGGCAGAATACTTCGAGGAACTGCTGAATAGATCAGCCCCATTGAATCCACCGAACATCGAAGCAGCCCACACAGACCTTCCAATAGATGTCACTCCACCAACGATCGAAGAAGTCAAGATGGCCATCAGACAAATCAAAAGTGGGAAGGCGGCAGGACCTGACAATATACCAGCAGAAGCACTGAAGTCAGACATTGAAATAACTGCAAACATGCTTCACCTTCTATTCAAGAAGATTTGGGAAGAGGATCTAGTGCCAACGGACTGGAAAGAAGGATATCTCATCAAGATACCAAAGAAAGGAGATCTGAGCCAATGCGAGAACTACAGAGGTATCAGTTTGTTATCAGTACCAGGAAAAGTTTTCAACAGAGTGCTGCTGAATCGGATGAAAGACGCAGTAGACGCCGAACTTAGGGATCATCAGGCTGGATTCCGTAAGGATCGGTCGTGCACAGACCAGATTGCGACATTACGGATCATCGTTGAACAATCAGTTGAGTGGAACTCATCACTATACGTCAACTTTATTGACTATGAGAAGGCGTTTGACAGCGTGGACAGGAGAACATTATGGAAACTTCTTCGACACTATGGAGTTACTGAAAAGATTGTCAACATTATCCAAAACTCATACGATGGACTACAGTGCAAAGTGGTGCATGGAGGATAGCTGACAGATGTATTTCCAGTAAGGACCGGAGTCAGACAAGGCTGTCTACTCTCCCCATTCCTCTTCCTTCTAGTGATTGACTGGATTATGAAGAATTCGACATCTGGAGGGAAATACGGAATACAATGGACTTCTCAGAATCAATTAGATGATTTGGACTTCGCAGATGACCTAGCCCTCCTCTCTCATACACACGAACAAATGCAGATGAAGACAGCAAATGTAGCAGCAGCCTCCGCATCGATAGGTCTCCACATTCACAAAGGAAAAAGCAAGATTCTCAAATGCAACACGGAGAACACCAACCCAATCACACTTGACGGCGAAACTCTGGAAGAGGTGGAAACATTCAAGTACCTGGGGAGTATCGTTGATAAACAAGGAGGATCAGATGCAGATGTAAAGGCGAGGATTGGCAAAGCAAGGGCAGCATTTCTACAATTGAAGAACATATGGAACTCAAAACAACTCTCAACCAATTTCAAGGTGAGAATCTTCAATACGAACGTCAAGACAGTCCTACTGTATGGAGCTGAAACGTGGAGAACTACTACGGTCATCATCAGGAAGGTACAAGTATTTATAAACAGTTGTCTGCGCAAAATACTCAACATCCACTGGCCTGATACTATCAGCAACAGCGTTTTATGGGAGAGGACAAGCCAGCTTCCAGCTGAAGAGGAAATTACGAAAAGACGTTGGAAGTGGATCGGACATACATTGAGGAAATCACCAATGTGCATCACGACTCAATCCCTAACTTGGAATCCGGAAGGGAAGAGGAAAAGAGGAAGGCCAAAGAACACACTACGCCGGGAAATAGAAGCCGATATGAAAAGGCTGAATAGTAACTGGAAAGAACTGGAAAGGAAGGCTCAGGACAGAGTTGGATGGAGAATGCTGGTGAGCGGCCTATGCTCCTCGACGAGGGGTAACAGGCGTAAGTAAGTAAGTAAGTAAGTAAGTAAGTAAGTAAGTAAGTAAGTAAGTAAGTAAGTAAGTAAGTAAGTAAGTAAGTAAGTAAGTAAGTAAGTAAGTAAGTAAGTAAGTAAGTAAGTAAGTAAGTAAGTAAGTAAGTAAGTAAGTAAGTAAGTAAGTAAGTAAGTAAGTAAGTAAGTAAGTAAGTATGTAAGTAAGTAAGTAAGTAAGTAAGTAAGTATTGAATTCTATTGATCAGGTTGATATGTAGCTAGCCGCTGGTTTAAGTGATAGGATACACTCTTTGATCTAGATTTTGCACAAGCTGACAGTTATCAATAACGCTTGATTCCAGTAATGGAAGGCTGATTCACCTCATTGGGATCTGTAATCTAGTTGTTCAGTCTCAGACGTCACCAAAGTGCTATTTAGGTGGCAAATGGCATCTAATAAGGTTTCCTAACAACTCTACAACTGTCTAATATCAGTAAGAGCCAATAGTTAACTTCAAATGCCTTCGTGATAAAAGGGCGAATTAACAGTTTAGTTCTAATCCTACATATAATCATAATTACAATTGAGTCTAAGTAACTCGACATCATGCTGACTATGTCTTGTGTTTGGTAGTCGGAGATTATCGGGAGAAAAACATTCTCTACTTAGACCTCACGCTAGTTAGCGATCTTCATTGGGACACATTTGCAAATAAATGAGTTATTACACAGAAATGAAGTAAAGTTTGAGTCTTACGGCATATTAAACTTGGCCAAAGTAGATCAGTGGTGATATTTAAACCGCGGAACTGAGTGACGCCAGTTCAAATCTCACAATCCGCACCAGTGTTCTGATAATTGTAGTTATTCCTAAGTGACGAATAACAACTAACATTGAACTCGGGAGAATAAACGTTTTCTACAGACTACTTTCAACTACCTACGATTATTTATATCGTATATGTCTTTTTACTCGGTGACTCCAGGTTACTGATAAATGATAGGATAAAACTGGAATAATTTTCGTCAAAAACTGACAAACTTTGTCGTTACAATGTTTAATAAATTTCTTGTCTCACTTTGGTGACAACATCACTGAGGTACGTTGACTGAAACACATATTTCCCTTTAGGTCTTAACAATGTCCAAAAGGTTTTTGATGATCGGAAAGACTAAAAGCAACAAAACCATTGTCCGAGGGCTAAATCGTACTGCCGACAGAGGAAGGATAGAGTTTAGAATATTGGACCAAAGATTCGCACATATTATACCTCTCATCATTGTTTTCATAAACAGTAAGACAATCAAAGTACGAAGATAGCAGATTGAGAATTGTCGAAAGTGAGTGCCGGTCTTAAACAATCATCCCTCGGGCTTTATGATAACACTTTCATGTCTCTAAGTCCACTGTAATTTCGTTTTCGTTTTCAAGTGCCCCAAGGAGAATTATGCTTCCCCCTATGTAGTCGATCAGGAAATGATAATCACCCTCATACTAGTAGCATCACTCAACATCATCTCGTTTATAGTAAAACTCCATGAGCCATTTATCAGTATTTCTTTTATCCTCATGTTCTTACCTTCTTCTGTAATTTTATCTTCAGGATCAAGTGTCACCAATATTGAATGACTGAATTACCCTACACAGATTACTTAACCGAAGTCCTACAGAATAGATTCATCAGTTTTGAAACCACATGACAAAATACGAGAAAAGTAAATAGTTAGAATCCATTTTTTCTTTCATTAAATTTATTGTTTTACAGTTTAGAATTTTCCCACTTTTCTCTGCTGTACAAAGAAGTAAACGAATGAATGAGAAAAGAAATACAAAGGGGAATATTGAAAATCGATAAGGACAAATAGACCACGAGGAAGAATGCACGGCGAGGAAGAAAAAATGAGCCACGAGAGGTGCAAGAGTGAAACGCAAGTTGAACCAATTGAGTATCTACGACTGAATGTGTGCTTATATGTTTGTAATATATAGGATAATTAGTAATGTTAATACTATTGTTTAGCATTTCAAGGATCCTTTATAATGTGAACATTGATCCACCTGATCCCATCCACCTCTTTTCGATGGAACACAATGAGTAAAAACGTACCCAAAAGAGCAATTACGATTGACAGAAATCAACATGAAAAAACGAAATGGAATTGTTTTTCTTTCCGATACACAACAAATTTATCGATCAGATACTATCAGTAACAGCCTATTGTGGAAGAGAACAAACCAGATTCCAGATGAAAAAGAAAATTAAGGAAAGACGTTGGAAGGAGATAGGATATTCATAGTCGAAATCATCAAACTGTATCACGAAACAAACCCTAGCTTGGAATCCTTATGGGAAACGGAAAAGTGAAAGACCAAAGAATACAGTACGTCAAGAATTCAAAGCAGATATCAAAATGATGAATGGAAAGGATTTTTCAAGATACAATTAGATGGAGAATGGTGGTATGCAGCCTATTCTCTTCCACGAGGGGTAACAGGCGTAAGGAAGTAAGTAAGATACACAACAAGTAAACCATACAATAGAAAAAATTTCATTTCAGACTAAAAAAAATCATAACAGTTTTTAAAATGGTTGTTAATACAGAACACCTAATATGATTATGAATAACTGAATTAGATAATGTAACGGGGGAAGATTTCCTGGAGCATTTATTGAACGATTCCCCCTGTGTATAAGGGGGGGGAGGTGTAGGTTTAGAAACTCTGATTACATAATAAATAAGGATATACAGAGAAGGTTACAAATAAAAATTAAAGACAATAAAAAATGAAATTTTACACATGACGACAATGAACTAATGAGTTCATTTAAAGGAATATATATAAGTGTATATCTCTGTGTGGGGGTGGGTGGGGGTGGTTGGTTGGTTGGTTGGTTACGGATGTGTACGAATACATGTATTTCTTAATAAAGTTTACATTTATGCCTATTATTGTGTACTTTACTTAATGTTTTAATACGTCGACGTAATTGTTCCATAGTTCGTTTACGTCCAATTGTAGTTAATGCTAAGCATAATTCATTCAATGGTAATTGATTATCATTAACTCCATGTAACCAAATATTCAATAGTCGATAAGTATGTTCTTTATAAGAATTTTTGCCTAGAAAAAAAAAAGAAAATTTAAAAATACAATTAATTTTATATTGTTGAAAGCGTGAGTTAATTGAAACTAGACCACCATGGAAAACCTGGAAGCATTGGACGACCGTTTCGTCCTATTGTGGGACTCCTCAGTGGAAGTGAGCATTCACACAAAACCCCTTCTGATAACAATTAATTTTAGTTAGATAGAGATGAAAGCTAAGAAGTATTGGATAACTATTTTATTTTAATGTTGAGATTTTATACTGGTACATATCCTCGACTATACCTTTTGTTAGAGATCGAACTTATGACTTTCAGGGCCTTATGGTAAGTGCTGAGTTCTAATTCAGTGATTTTCATTTATAACATCAGTTAATTCATAATATTTCACAAACATCAATGATTGCCTTGAAGGATGTAGAAACCTTTACATATCTGGGCAGCACCATCGATGAACATGGTGGATCTGATGAATATCTGAAGATAAGGATCGGCAAAGTAAGAGCAGCATATTTACAACTGAAAAACATTTGGAACTCAAAACAGCTGTCTGTCAACCAACACCATAATCAGAATTTTCAATACAAATGTCAAGACAGTTCTATCGTATGGGGCGGAAACCTGGAGAAGTACGAAGGCCACCATCCAGAAGGTAAAGGTGTTTATTAACATTTGTCTACGCAAAATACTTCGGATCCGTTGACCAGACACTATCAGCAACATTCTATTGTGGGAGACAACAAACCAGATTCCAGTTGAGAAAGAAATCAGGAAGAAGTGCTGGAAGTGGATTGGGCACACTTTGAGAAAATCACCCGATTACGTCACAAGACAAGCCCTCACATGGAATACTCAAGGCCAAAGGAAAAGAGGAAGACTAAAGAACATATTACACCGAGAAAGGGAAAGAGACTTGAGAACAATGAACAACATTTGGATAGAACTAGAAAAGAAGTCCCAGGACAGAGTGTGTTTGAGAATGCTGGTCGGCGGCCTATGCTCCATTGGGAGTAACAGGCGCAAGTAAGTAGTAAGTAATCATTGATTGCCATTGATGAGATTTTTTCATGCCTAACATAGTTAAAATCTACTTATCCCATATTCGCATTAGAACTGAAACTAATCCCAGAAAGTAGTTACTTGTAAGCACATGGTTATTGTATTGTTAAGATGTAGTAGTTTTGGACATTTCTTCATTCATTTATTGAGGGAGTGTTTGAACCTGTGAGTATAATTTTCACCAGAAATTTATTTTTAAATATTTGACTTTAGCTACACATACTTTTTGTGAGATTGACTGATGCACAAGTAAATCTTCAATTGAGACAGTTGGAACATGACTTATGTCTACCAATCCACTCCATACCTTGACGCGCTAAGTTTATTGATGTCGGAGTAGATTGAGAGAAAACTATGAGCTGTGGAACTGCCTCAAAGCATCAGTCTATGAATCCACTGATTTTCGAATTAAGTTGTGTTGATAGATACAAACTATCCTGGTTGGGATCAATATAACAATCTTAGTCAATGACTGAAGACACTGTGTCATTGTTACGTCCTTTACATGATTACGACATAGTGCAATATACAACTAACCGAATTCGAACGTGTAGAACCCTACGGCCACAGATCAGAAGACAGAAGAAACAGGAGAAGTAATTATTGGGTAAAAACCAAAAATGTGCAAAAAACATGAGTATTTATAGTTATTAGTGTTGGCTATAACATCATTTTAATTGATCCAATCCGCAAGGGGACAAGTCATACTACCGTCCAATCGTAGCATGCCAAGTTGATATTCTAAATGGCACTACTAAGTTCAGATTGGATGGAATATCTTTGGCTATTTTAAAGAATCTGTAAGCTTCATCGCGCTTTTTCGAAGCCGTCTCAACAGTAGTACGACTGAGGATTGGTTTCTGTGAAACAGATATCTTCACTCTTCGTGTTCCATAAAATGTTTTTAGATTTTAAAATGACACTGCGCTTTTTATTCCACGAGTTCATTATCTCGATGCTTGGTCTTTCAAACCACCACTGGTTGCATAAGTAGTGTTATCCATTAATCTATAATTCTGGTGGGTGGCCTATGTTCTTCCACGAGGGGGTACCAGGAGTAAGTACTTAATTCTCTATGGTTATACAATAAACTATCTAGTATCCAAAATATAGTAATGAATTCAACTTACCAATATCTTGATATTCAATTGCAGCAATATCATTTAATGTGAATCCCCAAAATTTTGCTAAACTTTTCCAATCTGATGGTTTCGCATATCGATGAGAATATTCAAAGAATAGAACATTCATATCATCAGCATAATTCTAAGAAGAGAAAATTTAAAATAACCATTAGTTCTTCATTATGCAAAGATGGTTAGTGGCTAGCAGTCGAATCCAGGACGCTCGTTTCGCTACTATCTATCTTTGCTTACAATGCTTGTGAATTAAGGCAATATTGAGGCAATACGCACAGTGTGCATATATGTCAATTAGAGACTGACCAGTTGCAGTTCTAAACAACAATGGGAAGATTCAAACAAACAATACTAAGTGAATTTAAACTTCGCCGCATTGCACAAGCAAGTGTCTATCACGACTCAGTAGCTGAGTGGATAACGCGATAGCGTTTGAAGCGAATGGTGCTGGGTTCAAGTCCCTGAGTGAATATCAACTCAGATGCTGGGACATCCAGCTGACGAGTCCCGAATAGGACGAAACGCGCTTCAAAATGGATTCCACTGTTAGCCACTATCCATCTTTGCTTATAATGCTTGTGAAATAAGGCAATATCGAGGCAATATGCTCAGTATGCACATATACCAATTAGAGACTGACCAGTTGCAGTCCTAAACATCAATTAGGAGATTCAAACAAACAATACTAAGTGAATTTAATTGTTTTTTCTGTCGAATATTTTATACACTATTTATAAGTTGATGAGTTTTATTTAAAATAACTACTGTTTTGTGGTGCTTGATTATTTGATCCTAACTTTAACAGCTTCATAGTCTCCCACTACCTAAAATCTTCTTTACATTTCAACTTCAAATGAAAGACAAAAGTACAGAGAGAAGTTTTACTTCAAATATTAATTTAGGTAACCTAGATGCTGCTACCCCCGACCGTTGCTGCTACCTTGACGTGGTGGTCGGGTTTGCCTATCGTGATGAAACAATCGAGCTATATTGGCTGGAACAATCGTTACTCAAAGTTCTACCATGCCAGAGAGGTCGGTTGAAGAGCGGTAAGACTAAAAGCTGCAAACCCAAGGTCCGAAGGCGAAGTCGTACTGCCGACTGTATAGAGGTGTGACAGCAATATGGTGTTTCCTTCAAACAACCAGCATGACAGCGATGCTGCCTTCCCACAAGGAGGGGTGGAGTTAGAAAAGGTCGACCCTGAAAATCCTCACCTTGCCTTATCCCACGGATATCCGTCTCCGGCGGTAAGGTTCTTTAAAGAACGGAGCTAACACAAAAATCACCCACAAAAGAGTCGTGTGTGACCGACCTCAAGCAGTTGTTCCTTGGGCACTGCGGTCACGCTCTCAGGTCATTAAGACCACTTCTAACTCAATTTCCTTCCCAGGTACCTCTAGAAGTACCCTTCCACGGTGTGGGCAACCGGGAAGTGACAACTGCCCTCATACTACTAACAGCACTCAGGATCACTGACTGAGCCTAGATTTATCGTGAAATATGTTTAAATTTATTTGAAAAAATGGATAATTATTAATTGGTATGGAGAGCCAATCAGAAATAGCCTAATGAGAAAGTCAATCGATGGTAATCAGAAGTGACATAATAGCCAAGTGCGTTTCATTGGGTGTCGAAATGGGTAAATTTTTCAAGAATAGATTGGTATATGTACATAGATGAGTATTTGTGCATTTTGTTCGGTAGACCAATACACTCTCTCACTTACACTTGTGTTCTCACTCACGTAGTCAGTTGGGGGGGAAGGGTGTTAGCGAATGGCACACCGTGTTTCAGGTCCTGATTGAATTTTATCGATCAGGTTTTAATGCAGCCACTAGTCTGTGCAATACGCTGAGATGTAAAGCGGTAATTGTAAGTAGTCGATAGGATACTTTTAACTTGGGTTTCGTGCCATTTGATATTTATCAGTAAGGGGAAATGTCTTAAGTCTGTAGGAAGTTTATACTGCCTTAGTGGTTCGAACCCGTTTCACTCTGTTTCAAAGCTTCTCTGTAAGATTGTGATATTCGCTTCGACTAATCCTTCAGAAGTGATCAATGCTACGCTTATAGAGTCATTAATGTTTCAGTTTCATCATGTTGACATGTATCAATTAACATGAAAAAAATGTTAAACAGGTTTTTCCTATCGAATAACATCAACCAATGAACATCATCATGATTGGAGTGATTGTTCTTCGTATACACCTTTACATTAAGCGTTTTATTTTAACAGAAACAATTTTTTAGAGAATAAAAGGAAAATGTATAACTCACTTGGCATGGTGCCCGAAATGTGAATGGATGTGTTAAATTCAAACCGTAACCATTCGATAAACGCATATTTTTACTTGATTGTGCTAGTAATGTATCAGTAATACGAAAGATTGTCTCACCATTTGGTAAATATATCTCATCCCCTTGAATATGACTTGATAAATTACTAAGACTTCGATGTTTTTGATGATAATCATCATCATTTCTATCATAACGTTCTCGATGATTATTTGGTTCTGACAAATCACGACTAATACTGATTTGTGATAGTCTTAATGAATTAGGCAATCGATCATGACTATGTTGATGTTGTCTTTGTCTAGTCCATGCACGACTTGCTTCATAACCTAATGATAATTCACTACCTGATTCAGAACTTGCTGTAGTTCTTGAACGATGATCAATTATTGATTGTACTTCACTATTCTGTTCATTGTTTTCTTCTAATTGTAATTGTTTGAATGGATCAATAAATTCTGTCATGATCACATCATCATGATCATGATCATTTGGAATGATTGAATGGTTTGATGAAATCAATGGATAAGAATATGGATTAGTTATGTAAGGATCATATAATTTGATTTGATCATCATTATTATTCTCATCATTATCAGTATTATGACGACGACGATGATGATGATATTCGTGATGTTGTGCAACATATGTATGACTACTTTCTGAATCTTCAGTAGTATCATTATTTTCATTGTTACTTTGATTATCAGTATTATCATTTAATAGGTGTTTTCGATCATTCGATAATATCTATCATTGTGTGAATAGAAATAATTCATAAAAGGATAATTTATTCTTATGAAATGTGAAAAGATCAATTGTCAATTGTGATTACATCTCAGTCCTATAGGAGGTCGGTCACGGCCCGAATAGCTCAGTGGTAACGTCTCTGACTGTGAGGCTAAGTGACAGGGGGTCGAATCCGCCAAGGAGCATCAGTACCCTTAAGATTACAGGTACACCTTGCTGACGAGCGCCAAGTAGCACGAAACCCGGGTCCAGGGTTTCCTGTTGACCACCTCCAACCACCATCTATGGAGGAGAGATCGTTGAATTTCATAGCGTACATCATGAACTGACATTGATTAGACAGAGAGTGAAAACCAGAAAGCATACTGGACAAAACTTTCATCCTGATATATGGTATTCCATAGAAGTGTCAATCTGCGAACTGACCAAAATTAGAAATTAATACACTCAGGTTCTGAGATGAGTGTTTGTCACTTAAACCAATAAGCTGCAATCCAATGGTTTGCATTTCAAACTTTAAGCAATCTGGAATTGTTTGTCAGTGAACAACTATCACCTCACTAAGCAAAGTTGAATGGTGTCAGTCAATGATCTCCAGTATGTATGTTTTATTTTGTTTTGGTTTTCTTAGATAAATATACCTCCATCCCAATATTGATGTTCACATAGAGACATTCGTCGAAAATACTCTTTTGTTGTCCATTGGGATATTGCCTTTAATTTTATGACGATATCTAGGTGGTCTGTTCAGGATGAACATACCCTAAATGATCGGAAGATTCAACTAATTATGAGCGGAATCAAAGTAGAGGGCATGCTTCAGTTAACAGTATTTAGTCATAAACGTCTTGAAAGAATATCTCACATGTAGTAGAATAACCGAATGAATGAATAATGCTAAGATTAAATATTTATTTATTTTTATTTATACACATAAATATTGGTACAATGAAGCACCAGATACATATGCGCCACACAAATCTCATTCAATTTGTGAAAAGGCTGTGACACTTCCCAAGTGCCCAGACTGAAGAAGGTGGTTTTCTTAGGGGACCACACCCGAAGCCTTTGACTCAAAGGTCTGATCCACAAAGCAGTGGAGCATCGTGAGGAGATGCATCCCCATGGTAGCCGGTGACCAACAATTGATTCATACTCCATTTGTTCCTTCAGGATACTGGAGTCCATGTGCACCATTGGTTTGGAATGAGGGTTTTTCAACTCCCCTAGGTGGACTAACCGTGTCCACCAACCCGGTTAAAGCGCCGGACATTCGCCTTTCGTCCTCTCGATTTCGTGAACAACACCCCCGCCACGAGAAGGCAATGAGTAGGAATTCCCTGGTAGAGGCTATATTACTCATGGCCATGTGAGAGTATTTGGAGAGGGAGAGCGGACTCTTCCCACTCTCGGCCATACCAGGGCACTTGGGAGCAAGAGATCGTATTTCTAGGGATCAAGATTAAATATAGGAAACTAGGTAAAGATGACAAACAACTAAAATGCCTAATCCGTATGTTACATATGTTCAAACATTGCTGCCTACATGAAGACACAATGCTAGCTTGGATAGTAGTAGGTTGAACAAAAACTTGACATTACTCCATATAGTCATTAACTGCTCATTTGAGTCATATAGGTAAGTGCAGAATACTTGGCTGGGGGTTACATACGCCATGAACGGTTGAAGAATATGGGATGCTATATTTGACATTCGGTTACTGTACAAGAGATGTGTTGATTCTTCACCTTCTAGCCCCTGAAATTCATTTATTCTTCTGATCGTAATATGATTAAGAAGTACGATCCATTGAATAAACAAGTGAACTAAACTGTTAACGTTATTCTCAGTATATTTGGTAAGTGGGTAAATAGTGGGATCTAAGACACATGTTTTTTTCTTTTTAGAACTCATCTAATGGATCCCAGTGTTGATAGTCCTTATATCAAAACTCGTCTGGACTTAGTAGCTTGGTAAGTAATATGTTACATTCACATGTAGGTTCATTCAGTTGACGGCCTACAAATACGAAGAAACATGCGTCCTGAATTTCATTACTTTTCACAATCCAACTTCACTCAAACATGTGACTGACACGGTAGTATCAGAGTGGACAATTCAGGATGCCTATATGCTGAAGCAACCTGATTATCAGTGTGGGTGTCATGGAGATTGTTGAACATTACTAAGATCATGAATTTATCTAAGCCAGATGACCATTAAAAACCTGGAAGCACTTGACAGCCATTCCATCTTAGCATGAGACTACTCAGTAGTGGGCATTCAAGAATTCACTATGAGGAGGGTCTCGAACTCAAGAACATAGATTTCACTGGTAAACGTTGAACCTCGAAACCAGTCAATTGAACTCTAATCAGTTGGTTAAATTCAACACACCTTTTATTACAAACTTCATTGATAAACCGAAGATAACAATCACTTACTTCTCGTGTTCTATAAAACTGGGGGTTATTTTGTTTTTTGTCTAATATTCTTGTTGTTACATATTTAGTCTGTTGAGTTTGTAAAATTTCATCAATTAATTTTTGAGCATTCACCTAGTTGATCATGATCCAAAAGGTGAGAAAAAAAGAAAAAAAATTATGAAACTAGTAACTACGTGAATAAACAAACAAACAATACTGATTGAATTTAAACTTCACCCCATTGCACAAGCAAGTGTCTATGAGAATTCAGTGGCCCAGTGGATATTGCGATGGCGTTTGAAGCGATGGTACTAGGTCCGAGTCCCAGAGTGAACATCAACTTTGAGATGCAGGTACATCCAGCTCACGACTCCCAAATAGGACAAAACGCACGTCCTGGATTCCACTGTTAGACACTATCCATCATTGCTTAAGTGAATAAATATTTATGTTAAATGTTAGTTTCTTGTTCATATGGAACAGATAGAACATGACTGGCAGTGAAATTCAGGATGTGATTTACTCCCCTCCACATGGGGCTCGTCAGCTGGATACGCTTGTATTCTAGAGCTGAAGGTCACACTGGGATTGTACTTTTTCAGAATTGACTCGTTAATAATGATGAGGTAGATTTGTGGAAATCAATGAATTTTACAGATTACATCCTGAAACGACCCTAGTTGGACAACCAGTAAAAACTTGGAGGAAATGAACAGACATTTTATCCCAGTATGAGACTCCACAAATGCTCACACTCAATACCTTCGTGAGGAGCAAACCCTGAGCAGGAGTTTCATCTAAAGTTATTGTACTAGGGCGGAAAAACTTTCCAATGCTTCATTATTTTCAACTTTTTCATATTAAAAGTCAGTTCATGATTTAAACTGTGATTTTCGGCTAAACAGAAAGCATTTATTGAGTTATTTGAATATCTAGAGTCTGCTGTTCAGTGAAGATTTCCATTTAGACCAGTTTTGAGCATTGTTACGCAGCGTCCCCGAATTCCGGTTGAGATAATCCTGCTGACTCTAGTTTACTTGCACGATTCAGACTAACGGACCATGATTTCATTGAGTGAAACCATATGTTAGTTTAACAGCCTATATCTTTCGTCCAGACAATTTCCACATAAAGCAACACAGCACGTAGAGGTGGAGGATGGTTAGGTATCTATAATACATATTCCAAGCACCATGTGTGATGAAGATTCACTCCGTGGTAAGGGTTCTTCAGTTGATATATGTGATTTAAACTTGGCTTACACAAATTTTAACGTTATTGAATAGAACTAGAAAGGAAGGCGCAGAACAGAGTGGGTTGGAGAATGCTGGTCGGAGGTCTATGCTCCATTACATTAGTTAAAATTAGATTAAAAAATAAGAACTATAAACAAAATTACATGATTAAGAAAACTTTTCAATACACACAATATCTCTCTTACTGGATAAGTTTTATTCCATCGATCAGCACGTATAATCATATCAACTAATGCAGTATAATTTGCTTTGGCAGCAATCATCAAAGGAGTTTGGCTATCCTAGAAGTAATTTCAGTTTGGAAGAGATCATGAGAGAAAAAAACATACGTTCAATGTATTATTGAAGACAATAAAATTTCTAATCAATGGAGAAGTTGAAATCTAGAAGTGGACAAACCTGAATTGAAGCATTTATGTGACTAAGACTTACGTTAAGAAGAACTGACTGACCGACTGATGTTTAGTAACGACTGCCAATGTTCAGAGAAGACATCATTCATTGATTAGTCAAGTAGCAATGATTACAGGTCTCATTATTCAAAGTACATTTCTTCAGTATCTCTGTTAGTAATGTTATCAACTTCCATCGAACCTGCTCATGTAGGAAGTGAAATTCCATATGAGCGGAACTTTTACAGCTCTTGTTGTTGATTAATAAGCAATATTGTTTTTTTTCTGCCAATAGTACTGATCAGGCTATGAGATGAGCGCTTGACTACATGACTTTGGTGTTAGTAAACAATTAGTTCAAACAACTGAGTCTAACAAGATGTTAGTTTTCAGGAAAATAACCTGGTTATAGCATCTATGCTACTGTTTAAAATATCAAGGATAATATAAGTACCCTAAGGATTATAATCGAATCTGGCTGAGATAATCTCAATCGACAATTTCTTATCATCAGAAAGGGTTTTGTGGATATTTCAGTATTTTCATAGTTGAAATCATGAGTCAATTGAAGCTAGTGGTTAGGAACTCTGGCGCAAGACTGGTAGATCTTGGGTTCCAATCTCGCGAGGTGGTATCGTGGATGCGCAATGCTGAGGAGTCCCACAATAGGATGAAACGGCCTTCCAGTACTTCCAGGTATTCCATAGTGGTCTAGTTTCAATTGACTCTTGATTTCAGCTCCTTATCACTTGCTTCACACAGTACACAACAACAGTCTACTACTCAATGTGTCTAGTATAGTTTACATAAATTGGACTAAAAGTGACATGAAACGTTTCATTACTTAGTGTAACCAATTACCATTCGTTTGTTTAATTCAAATGAACATTATTCACTAAAACGTTTTATGTAAACAGAGAAAAATCCTTATTCCGATCAGTTTATGAAAACAACCTGAGTATAAATATCATTATTAGAAATGGCTCGAGCTATTCCATTTTTAATATTCAGTACTGAATTCCGGTCAGTATTATTTGGGACATTGTGTGGATTGGCCAGACAGCGATTTTATAGAAAAGATGGAATGTGTCTAGCTGTGGATTTCAAGATACGAGTGTACGGGTAAACATGCACCCCAGAGTTGATGTTCACATTGAGACATAAACGCAGCATCTTTCTGTTCAAACGGCAATCTGCAAGGTATCGAGGTTTAAGTCTCAATATGAGCATAAATCTTAGATTCAAGTACACCCAATTGATCAGTCCTGAATTAGACGAAGAGAATATCTGTAAAAACCAGAATATAAATTGTAAAACAAAACTACCGTTTCTTACTTTATCCTTCAGATCTAATGAAGCACCACAAAATAATAAAGCTTCAACTGCTTCTAATCTATTTTGTGAAACTGCAAGATGCAATGGAGTTTGTTTATCCTACAAAAACCAAAGGAGAATAAACACATAATTTTATGACATTGGTCTGCCTACTAGCCTGCTTATCAGACACAAGAAAACTATTCCTCAATTAGTTAACATCCTTGTTACTTAGTGTAACATATCGAGATTGAATGCATGAGTTTAATCGTGACTAGTTTAGCCATATGGGAGGGGAATATCCTATTATTATCCGAAGGAGGTTTTTTGTGGAGATTTAGTATTTTCATAGTTGAAAGCGTGAGCACTTAACCGCTCTGGCGTGAGACTGGTAGGTCCTGGGTTAGAATTACACGAGGCGAGGTGGTGGATGCTCACTGCCACAGAGGAGTCCCACAATAGGACGAAACGGCCATCTAGTGATCCCAAGTTTTCCCTGGTGGTCTAGCTTCAATTGATTCACGCTTTCAACTATGAATATCCTATTAGCCGACTAATTATCTACGGCTACTCGAAGGCTGATTGGTTGGCAAGAGAAGTAAAAACGACCATGATAGGAAAAACTAAATTTAGTTGAATTTATTCTCAACGTCTTCAACGTTCAATAGATATACATTTGACATTTTATGGTTCATTGGATAAGTGAGTGTTGTATATTGAAGCTTAATCTTCACGTAAGATTTCAATTCAAGAGTATAAAATGCCAATACAGTGAAGCCTGACAACAAATATAGTAAAAGATGGAGCTAGAAATAAGATCTTCAATGAAATCTACACAAATTTTCATCAATCACGTACCATATCATCCGGAAAACATTTGAAAACGTTAATTACTTACTTACGCCTGTTACCCACAATGGAGCATAGGCCGCCGACCAGCATTCTCCAACACACTCTGTCCTGGGACTTCTTTTCTAGTTCTATCCAAATGTTGTTCATTGTTCTCAAGTCTTTTTCCCTTTCTCGGTGTAATATGTTCTTTAGTCTTCCTCTTTTCCTTTGGCCTTGAGGATTCCATGTGAGGGCTTGTCTTGTGACGTAATCGGGTGATTTTCTCAAAGTGTGCCCAATCCACTTCCAGCACTTCTTCCTGATTTCTTTCTCAACTGGAATCTGGTTTGTTGTCTCCCACAATAGAATGTTGCTGATAGTGTCTGGTCAACGGATCCGAAGTATTTTGCATAGACAAATGTTAATAAACACCTTTACCTTCTGGATGGTGGCCTTCGTACTTCTCCAGGTTTCCGCCCCATACGATAGAACTGTCTTGACATTTGTATTGAAAATTCTGATTATGGTGTTGGTTGACAGACAGCTGTTTTGAGTTCCAAATGTTTTTCAGTTGTAAATATGCTGCTCTTACTTTGCCGATCCTTATCTTCAGATATTCATCAGATCCACCATGTTCATCGATGGTGCTGCCCAGATATGTAAAGGTTTCCACATTATCCAAATCTTCTCTGTCAAGTGTAATTCCATTGGTGCATGTTGTGCTGTATCGAAGAATCTTGCTTTTCCCTTTGTGTGTATTGAAAACTGCATTTTGGACTGCTGCTACACTGGTCGTAATCTCCTGCATTTTTTGTAACGTGTGAGATAAAAGAGGCAGATCATTTTCGAGGACTAGATCGTCAAGCTGCAACATTGAAAATGTTGTGGATTCTATCTGATTTTATTGTTTAATAGACTACTATTTATATGTAAAACTAACTAAGCATATAACTGTACAAGTTTGATAAATGACTGACTGTATTTACAATCATACACAATTCTCTAAATTTTTTCATCGAAACATTGAGCATCTGAATTTCCACTGTCAGAGGATTTGAAGGTTTAAAAATAGCTAGCGGTGATTGAATTAACGTTTGATATCATTGACTGTTAGGATGAGCCATGTGCACAACTGTAGGCTACTGTTATATATATAGAATGATCTAATTCGAAATCAGTCGCGGTGGCGTAGATGTATTCATTCTTCTCATAGATTTTGTCATTAAAAGTTGCATTATACCCTAATTCATTTTTTTCTTTCGACTTGATTGCTGGTGTCTTATCTTTTCCATTGTCACTGATACTAATGTTATTACTACTACTGTGGTGTAGTCAACTTATATCCATATAAGTAGTATATGGTGATGGTCAGACCAGAGAATGTATTTTGGCAGAATATAGATAAGGAACGAACAGGAATTAAGCGCAATCGGCACAAAAATGCATGAACAATGCAATCAGAGAAGACGGACTGATATTTGCAGAACGAACAGTTAAGATTGAGACAATTGACTGTTATTTTGCGTATTAACTGTTCACTGTATGATTATCAGAATTTGGCGAGATCATCTGTAATTTTGTGCTTAAATACATTCGATTGTCCCCACTTGTGTTCTTGTTCACTACACTACCTCTATAATCCTGTCATTTGTCTTGATAATTTAATCTCATTGTGCGGATATAGTTAGGTGAATTGAACCAATGCACATACATATAAGGCCCTACGTTGCTTATGACTGACTGATTAACAGTTACGTTCTTGAAAAGGTTTATTGTTCATTGATTTTTGAGTTTCATTGATCTATAATTAAGGTATGTTAAGGAATGGAACCGTTGCATTGTTTCTTAAGACTCTAGGTTATCCTTCCACTTTGTCCTACTAACTCATAAGTCTTGCTTTTAAATCCCATAAGATCATATAACGCCTACACAACCGACATAACACACAAAACGCAGTTGATTATATCTCAATTAGATCCGGTCTATTGATGGTTGTGGAAACATTTTATTTACCGACGGTATTACTCTTTTGTACATTTATGTGTATATCTTAACCAGCCTAAAACTATAATGAAAGAATTGTTGGATAATTAACATTAATTGACGCGTTGACAAGAAAGATGTTCCAATAAGATTGTTCAGACTACTTAGCAGCAGAAATTCACAATATGAAGTAGAAAAACTTCCACTAACAAAGTCGAATGTTAAATTAGTTGGTTGAAGGCAATCAGTAAGGAACTCTGGTTGATCTAGGTTTCGTTCTAGTTCTACATGCTCATCGTTAGGAGATAATTAACAATCTTAAGAGAACTAATTTGCTCTTTAGGATTCATGAAGCTTAGAAGGTTAGTACTTGATTAAAAATACTTCCCATCGAAATAACCAGCCATTTCACCTGTGTTATATAACTTCATGAATACGGTAGATCAGATGCAGATGTGAGGGCGAGGATCAGCAAAGCAAGAGCAGCATATTTACAACTGAAGAACATCTGCAACTCAAAATAACTGTTTGTCAACCAACAACAAGGTCAGAATTTTCAATACAAATGTCAAGTCAGTTCTATTGTATGGGGCGGAGACGTGGAAAACTACGAAGGCCACCATCCAGAAGGTAAAGGTGTTTAATAACAGTTGTCTACGCAAGATACTTCGGATCCGTTGGTCAGACACTAACAGCAACATTCTACTGTGGGAGAGAACAAATCAGATTCCAGTGGATGAAGAAATCAGGAAGAAGTGCTGGAAGTGGATAGGATGCGCATTGAGGAAAGCAGTCAACTGTGTCACAAGGCTAACCCTCACATGGAATCCTCAAGGCTAAAGGAGAAGAGGAAGAAAAAAGAACACATTATGCCGAGAAATGGAGACAGACATGAGAAGAATGAACAAGAATTGGATAGAATTAGAAAAGAAGGGCGCGGACAGAGTGTGTTTGAGGATGCTGGTCGGCGGCCTATGCTCCATTTGGAGAAACAGGCGCAAGTAAGTAAGTATATAACTTATCAACTATCTACTGATATCATTGTTATCAATGGCATCATACAGAATTACCCTCTATTTCGTCACTAGAGAAAGTTAGCGACGGTAATTGAAAGCATACAAAATAAAGAGATTGTAACTAGTCAACATTTTTACACCCAAAGAAACTTACCTCATTGACAGCACAAAGATCAAATTTTCTTGAGAACAAAAAATAGATGGTATCTGAAAGATCACATAATGCTGCAACATGCAAGGCTGTATCGCCTACCTGAAAAAACATATTTAACAATGGCATCACTGTATATATATGTATATTAGGTAGTTAGAAGTAATCGACATGAAAGCTTGTTTGGCATTCGTTAGTAGGACTGACATCCGCAGTAGTATTCAAACCTGTGTCATTCAACAGCGCTGTGTTAGACATTAATGATTTTCGAAATTCCTCATAGGTATCTCCAACGTGACGTCAAGTTATTTGAACTAGTTATCGCGTTGCAGCTTGAACAGGGCATAATTTACCAATCAATGTACTACTATGAAGTCCTATCATAGAATATGATAACATCCGAATGATCCTCTAGTTGTTTGTTGGTTCATGAGCAAGTAATGTTTCAATCCACATAATAATTATTTATCTTGACAAAATATCTAATTATTTCATGGACAGAGAAAACTAACAGCATTCAGCTAAGTGTCTATTCGACAGCTCCCTTTATATCAGTAAGACGTTACAAACAAATACGGAATAGTTCTTCAACTGATCACTAAGACGTAATTGCATACTTAAAGGAACTAACATTCCACATGAGAATCAAACCAGCATTACTCATTAGTACATTAAGAAATGGTACTACTATTCAACTCATTTTCTAACGTTTAAGTTATTTCTATCAATTCATTATTGTTAAAAATACTGTACACTATGTCAATTCACTTAGACAATTAAAGATCACCGTAAATTCCAACTTGATCGACAAGATTTGATCAGTACTAAATGAAGAATAGACAAGAATAACATTGATTACGGTTAACTAACTGATTAGTGTAGATATATATGTTATATGTACATTTTTGGCTTACTTTACTTGTTTTCTCACGACTTGCTTTATTTTCAATAAGCAGATCAATACACTTGTGAAATCCTCTTCGAGAACATTCAATCAAAGGACAATCACGAGTCTAGAAGTTAAAAAAATAGTTTGGTTTTAAAAGAACTTAGAAAGTATGGAAGAAGTCAACATAAATGTGCTCCAGATTTCTTAGATCGTTTTTCTGTAATGTTGGTTATCGTTTATATTTGACTCAACACTAGATATGGGCTCACATGACATGCAGACGCAAAGGCGAGGATTGGTAAAGCAAGGAAAACATTCTTACAATTGAAGAACATATCGAACTCAAAACAACTATCTGTCAACCAACATCAAAGTCAGAATATTCAATACAAACATCAAAACAGTTCTAACTGTACGGAGCTGAAACTTGGAGAACTACTACAGCCATCATCAAAATGGTATAAGTATTTCTAAACTATTGTCTACACAAGATACTCAACGTTTGTTGGTCGGAGGTGGATGGAACATACATTGCAGAAATCATCAAACTGAATCACGGGGCAAACGGTAACTCGGAAGGTCAAAGAACATACTGCATTGAGAATAGGAAGCAGACATGAAAAGGATGAATAGCAACTGAGAAAAACTGGAAAATATTGCCCAATGCAGAGTTGGATGAATAATACTGGTGTGCGGCCTATGCTCCTTCACAAGGAACAACAGGTGTGAATAAGTAAGTAAGTATTGATATACTGGGTAATTTAGACACAGGTCAAATAACAAATGAGAGATGCTGACAGGTGTGGGCCATCAGTAAGGATTATCCTTTAGGTTATGAAGTAATAGGCATACGCTATTGATAGAAAATCTGGCTTGACTATCTAGGAGACACGTATTTAAGTTTAGGAATGAGCTGTTTATATATTCTCGATTTGATTTAGCCAAATAAAAGCTTCCTTATCTTTCGTCGGCTTACTCAATTAAGTATGTCGTTGGGGTTGTGTATCAGAAGCTAACTTGGTCTCAATAACCAGTGAAAACTAACTATCACCAGATACGTCAATTTTCAATTAGGTAAAAAGATGGAGATAAACAGTGAAGTTGAATGATAAGATTATGAACAGTTGAAACGTGATCAATTTAATTTGAGCAGGTTAGACAGTCGATTATGTTAATCGTAAGCTGCCTAAATTGATCATACTCAGAGATCGTCAAATGACTGAAGTAGTGTTTATCAGGTCAGTTATAAGACAGAGGTCTATGTTTAAAACGGAAAATATTGAAAATATTGTCTTATCTTAAACAATAACAGACCTAATAAATTAATATCTATCTCAACTACGGAATGACTGAACTCGATTAGTGTCCATATCTCATCTTCTTTATGTTCTTGTCATTTTACCCCTAGATAGTATTCATGTTAGATTAACATCAGTTGGGGGGCAACATTCAAAATGATGGAACATTTAATAGCTACCATGCCGAACTGAGTGAAATCAGTTACTTTTGAGTTAATACATAAAAGAAACTGATATCTCCATCAGTTATTTTCACCTTTATTTTCATAGGCGATTTTTTAGTCACAAAATGGATTAGACTGAAGATGAGATACTCCCAGAGTTCTCATGTAGGAGCTGTTGGTCTTACAACTTGGGACTCCCCGAATCTACGACCTAGAAGTCTAATCCACAAGGTAATGTAGTAACGTCAGCAAAAGGCGTCCCGTGACAGCCAGTGACTAAAGTAGGTTTACATGCAAATTGTCACCTAAGGATATTTTAACTTATAGACAACATTCGTTTGGAAGTAGAATTTTCCAGATCCCCTGGATGGGCCCTCCTAATCCGTCAACCCCGTTTATTCTCTAGACATTTGCTCCAAGTCCTTCCACATCTTATCTGGTAAGTAGGACCTACTTCGCATAAACCACAAACGGACTTATAACGGAATTTTGAGAGGTAGAAAGGACTTGTCTCAACTTCGTCAGTACTAGGGCATTTGATGATACCATGTTAATAAAGACACCAAGTAGAAACCATTGCTTAATGAGATAAGTTGTTATTGTCTGTTTTTAAAAAAAATTAATCTTATGAAATTTAATAAAAAACTTAAAGTAATCCAACCTTTGTTTCAATGTCTGGATTTGCACCAGCTTCTAAAAGTAGTCGAACACAATGTTGTTGATTGTTTTCACAAGCCAAATGTAATGGACTACATCCTGAGTTATCCTAAAAGAAAATTAATAAAAGACAGTACGATTATATATCATGCCGGGTATTTTTACATAAGTGACAAATTAACAACATTCAAATACTATATAACTGTTAGATGATTGAAGTTAGTCTGGATGAGCCCCCACATGCCCTGGTATGGCCAGGAAAGTTCTACGCACTGCCTTCTCACACCACGGATTTTGTTTACGAAATTGAGAGGACGAAAAGCGAATGTCCGGCGCTTTAACCGGGTTGGTGGACACTGAAAGTTCACCTAGGGGAGTTAGAAAACCCTCATTCCAAATCAATGGTGCACATGGGCTGGCTCCAGTATCCTGAAGGAACAAATGACGTATGAACCAATCGTTGGTCACCGGCTACCATGGGACTGCATCTTCTCACGACGCTTCACTGCCTTGTGGGTTAGACCTTCAGGTCAAAGGCTCGGTGTTTGGCCTCCTAAGAAAACCACCTGCTTCAGTCTGGGCACCTGTGTAGTATCACAGCCCTCACACAAACGAAATGAGATTTGTGAGGCGCGTATGTATCTGGAGCTTTTTTGTACCAATATTGATGTGTTTAAATAAAATAAAATAAATAGTCTGCATGAAATTCTTCCTGATCTGATTTTCTTGTTGACTGACTGTAGTCTTGAGAGAACTGATGCTCTCTATGAGATTTCAAGCCATATTACTCAGTTTCACAGTCTAAAACGTTAAAACTGACTCGACTACCTTTAAACACCTACGCGAGGTCAATTCACTAAAAACAGTTTTCACATTGTCATGTAATGGATAAAATTCATTCAGCACTAAGGACCAGACAAAAATAACATTAGTCGCAAGTCAGTTAGTTATCAGTCAACTAAGAACTGTCTAATTGAAATAATCACAATTTTTCCATATCAAATTCTATGGCGAAGTAAACATAGAAGTGTCTGAGAATCAATGGGTTAGTTGGAGAGAAGCGTGCGTTAATCTCATCTGTAGATTGTTCATAACAGTCAGAATGTATCATCGGTAAAGGTTAAGTTCATCAGGTTAATTAGAAGAGGATTTTCGGTAAATTGAACTGGGACTTGGAAACAACATTCTTGTCCCCCCTCAGTATTATCTATGCACACTCTTAACGTTACAACTGAACAGATATTAACATTGAGTGGATACACAACGGAAATTATCAGAATAAACTAGATAGTTATAGATATCATCTAGCAAAGATGATAGAAAAATAGATGATGAAGTTGATAACATATTGGGGAAGGATAATTCGAATTAGGCAAAGTAAAGTTTAAATCTATAGATTTACAGAGAGAAGTTTGGGTGCTTTAATCATTTCGACACCAACTTCCTACGATGAGATTGGTTAACATTTGATTTCTCAAATAAAACAGTCCCATAACCACATTTTAGAATACAGTTAGGTTGCTAGTTAGTAGTGGAATCAAGTATGCGAGTATAATCCTATTTGGAACTCGTTAGCTCGATATACCGGCCAAAGAAACAACTTATCGTTTCACTCTGGAATTCGGAACCACTACATTTCTCATTTCAGTCAGCCACTTACTTGTGCATAGGATATGAATTTTAATTGAATTTATAGTGGTTTACGCTTATCCCAGTGTCGATATTTTGACTGCATTTTGTTCAATTTTAGTTAGCGTCTGTGCATCTAATGCAGGTTGCCTCTTTATAGCCGCTATGTCCCAGGTCTTTACAGGACAGATAACTAAGTGAATAACGTGTTGAAGGTTTTAAAGAGAAAGGATTCGGATCCAGGGGAGAAATAATGAGCTGTTTTTTGGCAAATATAACCGTATTTGTGAGAGTATTTACAGTAACAAGTGAAGTAAGACTATGACTAGTAACGGTGGAATCTAGGACGTACGTTTCGTTCTATTTGAGACTTGTTACTTGAATTTACCTGCATTTAAGCATTGATGTTCATCATATTGACGTTTGAATACAGCATCTATTACTTTGAACGCCACCTTATCCACTTTGCTACTGAGTTGAGATTACATAAATGTAGTCAGCTGGTATGTGTTCATATATAAGAGCTTGTATTATTCGATTGTTAATATTCGGAATGGTCATTAATCTATTTTTACTGGAACATGTGTACCCTGAGAAAACGTCTATTACTATATGGTTACTAGTCTAGTTGAATAGATATCATGTACTCTGTTTAAATTTGAAGTGATTACAAGTAAAACTGAATAATCCAGGATGTAATTCCGTATGCAGCATCGATTAGCGCGAGATTTTAGTCACTTCTTACTGATGAATACCAACCAGTATGAACCCACAAGTCAAGTGGATTTTGCTGTCAACTCTCTTTAGGCTTTAAACTCTGAGATAGAAACATAACATCGAATTCACTTAGTATTGTTTGTTTGAATCTTCCCATTGATGCTTAAGACTGCAACTAGTCAGTCTCTTATTTACCATATGCGCATACTGTGCTTATTGCAAGTATACAACGCCAAGTGAATATAACTTCACCCCATTGCACAAGCAGGTGGCTAACAGGACTGAGTAGCTGAGTGGATAACATGATGGCATTTGGAGTGAAAGGTACTGGGTTCGAGTTCCAGATTGAACATCAACTTTGAGATTCAGGTACATTCAGCTGACAAGTTCTAAATAGGATGAAATGCACGTGAAACTTGATTCCACTTCTAGCCACTATCCGTCTTTGCTTATGAAACATAACATCGTTCTTAACCCTAACAGAATTCATCCTTCTTTGGTCAGTCGTTAACTACAACATAGGAACAAATCAAATCAAATGTTGGTTAGTTTCTAAGCGATAATAATCGATTACTTACTAATTCATTAATTTTTGATTTGAGTAATTCCACTGATAATAAACAATATAATGCATCAATATGACCATTCTTGGAGACAAAATGTAATGCATTTCTACCATACTGAAAAAAAAACAAAAGCCAACATAAGGATGATAATAAGGTTTACATTTTATTAAGGATAATGATATATGTAGGCTGGTTACAATGGTACTTCAATTTTAACATGGAATGCTTGAAGAAATTGTCAAATCTCGTAGTTTAAGACATGAAGTGATCTTAATTAAATAATTTTGATATTCAGGAAGTACTAGATGGTTAATTAGTTTCATTATGATAGCTCCTCGGCAGGGTACATTCAAAATCCTAACACAGATTGAATGCATCAAGTTCAGGTGACCAAAGGAATGACAAAACTATAGAACATTAAGGGGCCAACCAACAGTCTACAAGTATAAGGTCAATCCATTCATTTGATTTCACAAACATCTTTGTAAGCCTTTAATGAACAACTGACTCACACTCAATATATATGAGCTCCATTTGTTAAGGCCTTGCTAGTCACAAGTAACGGAATGATTATTATCGGTCTATAAGCATGAATTTTAAATCCTCTCTGAGAGATCAGGAAATCTTGGGTTGGGTCTGTGGTGGTATCTTAAATGCGTACTACTTGTGGATCGCTTACTGGGACGAAACAGACATTCAAAGATTCTAGTTTACATTACTAGTTTATTCGTAATGTGAACTATACATTTGTTCAACTTCAGTATATAAAATGTTTTGTTTTTGGTATTCATACATGTTCGTTTCTTAACTTTGAGCCATTTATAAACCAACTAATGAGGTGTTTTGAAGTGATGATGAGGTTAACTCGTTTGTTCACAAAAGAAAAAAAACATATTCGTAAGTTGGAATCAAATGTGTAATTCACATCAAAGAATGTGGTTATTTTATGTGGACGAATTCTAGCGAGAAGCTATAATCAATAGAATTCATTGGTGTTAGGCTTGAGGCAGCTATATAGAGATTTCAGAGGTATACGGCTACACAATGTCGCGAATGGATTGAAGTTAGACATGTAGACCAATGGATGATGGGTTAGTATCTCGAATTTCAACCTCTCTTTAAGAGACCTAAGGGTTCTGGATACAATTCCTGGTGACTTGGTCATAGATATACACTATCGAGAAATCATACATTAGAACAAAATCAGCTGTCTATTGCTCCTCAGCTTTCAATAATTGTCTAACTTATATCGACTAGGGATATCAATAACATTCAATAATCTCTACATACATTAGTACTGATATCGGGAAGATTAAATTCAAATCTAAATGAGGATAATGCACGTATGCAAACAATACTGAAAATGACTTTAAGATAATAATGATTATTTTGATCATTTGTATTCTGTCTTTATTCTCTCCTCGTTTAACTCATTTCTGTGTATTGCGTTATATTACTGATTAATATACTACTTAATAATGCTCAGTAAGCCGTTTCATTCCTAATAATTTCTGAATGTACAGTTTAGTGAACGTGGATTGCATTTACATTGAATAGGAACAATCATAATTTCCAATGAAATTCAACAATCTAAACAACCCTTTACTGAAAACTATCAAGTGCTCAATAATAACTAGTTTCAAGAGGAAACTTTCAGAGTTTTAATAAGATTATTAGGTTGTTCAACCCAATCGAGTATGGCAGTTGCCTATCGAAGACAATAGAAGGTGGTCGCTCAATTTCAAATATTGATTGATGTTAAACATTAAAATAATAGGACTAAGGATTAATCGTTCTTTCATGAGATCAAAGGTGCCAGGTTCTATCCCCAGTGACGAGTTCGTGGATGCGCACTACCGAGGAATTGCATAATAGAACGAAAAGGCCATCCAGTGCTTCCAGGTTTTCAATGGTGGTCTAACTTAGATCACTTCATGATTTTAATGAAGTAGTAACATTTACCTTATTCATAGTTATAATGACATTCTCTAAATCCCTGTTATAGTTACTTTCAGTTTTTGAGCACTTCATGAAAGTATTTTTTTACCATGCTTTTGTGTTCGTAGTCTCCATTCGATTGTTGATAGTCACTACTGACTTCGGACATAATTATCAGTTGCCATTTACCCTACGGTATGTTGCAAATATTTTTTGCTTTGGTATTAAAGGAAACCTTTACTTTTTCAGACATACAGACCTCTTAATCTCCACAGATATCACAAGAGTCATGGCTTGTAACTAACTGATATATACATTTAAAAATAATTATACAGCTGTAAGCAAAAATGGATAGTGGCTAGCAGTTTGGGACTCGTCAGGCTATATCGAAGGAATATGCACAGTATGCGCATATGCCAATAAGAGACGGGCCAGTTGGATTTTTAAACATCAATGGGAAGATTCAAACAAACAATACTAATTGAATCATACAGTTGTTCGGATTGGTAGTCATTTTTGAACCTCATCTTCACGTTTATCACAGTTGGTTAGTTGAATACTTCGATAGATTTCACATTTTCTAACTTACAAACATACCTAAAACTACAATTGTAACATTGAATATATATACATATACAATTTAAATCATTGTTATTTCATTAATGGTATGCAAAGTAATTGGAACATTTAAGATGATTTATGATCATAGTATATCATCTTCTTCATATTGGATTCTTTCAATTTTCGATATTACTATACTACTGTATAGTTAACATTTCTACAAATGGTTAAATATTCCATTCATTATCTATTAGTGAACTTAAACTTTATAATTGATGTTATGGTATATAATAAGGTTGATCATCAAGATAGTTGGTATCATTGATTAAGAATCTAAATAAGTATATGAGACCATTCCACTTTAGTTAAGATAATGGATTTGTCAGTCATTGTTTGCCTAGATAGCGAAGTTATACTGACGAACAGATATGAATGTGATGGTTGTAAAGTGTTTCCATTAGATAAACGATATCTTCAATAACGGCAACGTGAACAAAATAACAACAGAAGAATGGGTTGACAAAAGTCAGAGATATTGACAACCTGTGGATTTCTGTGACGACTATTAAGGTTACAGTTTCACAGAGATAATTTATCAAAGAGTATTCACAAAATGGTGTTGTATGAGTAGCCTTAAGCTATTCCCCGTTGACTTTATGATCATCATCCCAGGCTGTCAATTACCTTATCGAATCTCTCAAGAGAAAATATCCTTCCACGTTTTAGACAACCAATCATATAGATCAAACAGCGCTCTTAGGCAGTGCAAAGTTATAAATTCATACGAAATCGAATTCATGATCTTCAAGATTTCATTATATGCAAAACACAATTTAACTACTGAACTGCATTTCATCAGTTCACAAAAGATTCCTAGTAGAGTTTCAGGGATATACTGACTGGAAGAAATTATTCATGAATATAGGATGAAAGTTTTTATGAATCCTTTGTGAAAAGTGTCATACAGTTTGACAGTCATGTTCCTTATAAGCTGAATTAACCATTAGACCCAATTCTTATTAGATTTTAACGTGTATTGAGATAATAAAAAAAAGAATGAAATATGGCTTCGATTCCCTGTACGTTGATTATCATTAGTGTAGTGAGCACTTTATAAAAGGAAGTAATACTCCGACAAAAGCTGAACAACGCATCGATGAATAATATAAATATGTCATTAGATCGAATCTTACGAAATCAATTACTGAGTAGTATGAGACAACAGAGAATGATTCTGAAAGAATAGTATGCGTTGATTATTTGTACAGTGTGATTCAATAATGGAATCCAACTGAATAGTGTTGTTAAACAGTTGTAACTAAACATTTTCTGTACAAAAATTACCGATCATAAACTCACTGATCTAATTGTGGAGTGATATCATCATCGACGGTTTTCATAAGAAGAGGTGGTCTTTATCAGATATTAAATTAAATGATACAAAAGTAAGTGAAAGCTGAATACTTTGCTTTTGCGTTAATTGATATACGTTAAGAACTCGTCGATGTGATTTGGAGAGAATTGGTACTGTTCAATGAGTGTCAAATAAAATGTCATCTATTATCATAGTTGGACGGCTTATAACTCCAAAATGACTTTGAAGCATTTGATTGTGAACGTAGTGATCTCTAGTGTCGTTAGAAGTATGAAATTGGTTCTCACTTCCCAGTTGCCAACATTGTGGATCATACTTCTTTTTGGGAGAGTTAAAACGAAATTATGTTGGTTGTGATCTTGAAAATTCGAGAGCGCGACTACAGAACCCAAAGGAACAGTTAGTTGAGGCCGTTATACAGTACATTTTAATGAGTAGCTTTATGTGTTAACTTCATGTTTATCAGACCCTACTGTTGATGACAGAAATTCATAGTGTTGTGAACAAGAATGCAAAATGGAACAACCAATTTATTATCTAGTACGAAACTACAGAATATCGTTGTAAAACATGAGAGCCGTACAACAAATACTTCATTTGCAAATCTTCCATCAGTTGTTCTTGACATTGTATATGATTCTTCCAATTCACAATTCCTTTCTATTCCCCTTTCTGTTTTCTTCAATTCGATCTTATTACTCTTCTGCTGCTATACATTCCACTTCCGATTGGTTTTACATACTACTATGTCGATAGATATAAGTAGAACACACCGCACTCGTTCCCCCTTTATACGGTCGCTCTTCCGTTCGTTCTGCTAGCCACGCCACTTCCTTCTCTGCCACAGTCTGGTCCACAGTATCCGTCAGAATGTCGGGTTCGCTGAGCCATCTAAATCAGAGGTCTGCCTAACACCTGGGATGTCTGACGCCGACGCTCCAGCAATTTGCTGAGCCTTCTACATCCGATGTACACCCAGCAGTCGCATGTCTCACTGATACTCTCCTTTGACAGCAACTGTTACAGCCAACACCAACCCTCCAGAAGAATTCACTTGACGTCACCCTTTCGTACTAGACCGCCTCAACTAGCACCCCATTCCAGGCCACTCAACGGTGTCCACGGAACTGCACTCTCCTTGGTTTCCCTTTGGCAGCGACATCAAATGTAATGAAAGAATATTCAGGTGGTGATGACCAATTTATTCGTTAACACAAAAATTACAGATTTCTTTGGTAGAATGTGAAAACCATACATTCAATACTTCACTTGAAAATCCTCCATCAATTGTTTCAAACTTCATCGTTCTTTCATTTCTATAAAGATTACTCTCTGTTCCCGTTCTCTTTGATTCGTTCTTACCAACCTTCTACTGTCAGGCCTTCCACTTCTGACTGGTGATATATACTACTTATGTTGACAGATATAAGAAGCATACACCACAGTAAAACCAAGATCGGATTTTCTGTTGGTATTCCCGACATTTCAAACCCCTTCTTATTATGGGGAGACAGCAACATTGCAGACACCGATTTCTGACAGGAAATCTCACAGTCAATAGTACGACATCGTCTTAAGATTATTACTTCGCTACTTTGTTCTTACAGACTCCCAATCAACCTACCTACTATGGTAGAACCAGAAGCAATAAGTGTTACTGTGGTGTTGTCTACTTATATCTATATAAGTAGTATATGGTGTTGGTCAGACATAGAATGTATTTTGGCAGAAGACCGATGAGCAAAGAACTGAAATGAAGCGCAATCGTTTGGAAAATGCATGAGCAATGGAATAAGAGAAGAAACAGTGAAGATTGAAACAAATTGGTTGTTAATTTGCAAATTGACTGTTCATTGTTTGGTAATCAGAATTTACTGAGATAGTCTGTAATGTTTGCTTAAATACATTCGATTGTCCCCAACTAGTGTTCTGTTCACAACATTACGACCATTATAGCCTTATTAAATTATCATGAGATATAAGCCTAGCCACTGCATCTAGTTAGCTCTATTCGGCGTATTATCATAGACCATATATCTGTTTGTACTACAATAACTTCAAGAAACTGTATAAAAATTTCATTCTAACTTACCGTATCTGTTGCATTGATATTACAGTTTCGTCTAACCAAAATCTCCATTAATAATTCATTTCCTTTAGAAGCAGCTATTAAAAATGGGGTCATTCCATTCTAATAAAGTAAATTTATAAAGATGTTATGATAAAGAAATTCAAGTGCAAAGTGACAAATTTGATAGTCTATTCTTTTGAAACATTATTACTGATAACAAGCAAAGATGGGTAGTGACTAGCTGTAAGAATGGCTCGTTGGAAAACTCAAGGAAGCCTTAAGAAATCCAGAAAGAGCTGAAGACATTCTATCCAGTCATTACTAGGGGAACATTCTAGAATGTCGACGTGTAGCTTCTTTAATGGATGATTAAGAAGGACCCCCCTAAGTGCCTATTAACTATCCGAAATGATTTACTTTCAGCCAAAAACTATAAATACTTGAGATTTTTATACTATATTTGACACTGTTTTGGTGATAACATTCCTACTTACTTGTCTTCTGTCTTCTTTCTTCCAGCGTTGCGGGTTTCATCGTTCAAGCAGTTTAGTAGTACATGGCATAGCAAGAATCTAAAGCTCTAGTTATAACACTAGCAATAGTATCCAGGACGTGCGTTTCGTTTGATTCGGGACTCATCAACTGGATAAACCTAAATCACAGAGTTAATGCTTGTGACTTAAAGCAATACCAAAACGATCCACAAAGGATGCGTATATACTAATGAGAGACTGATCAATTGCAGTCCTAAATATCAATTGGAAGACTCAAATAAACAATACAAAATGAATTGTTACCCATTATATATTATGTGTAATTATGTGAACAGTTGGCATTGTATGCATTTCTGTCATCATCCTGTAGTTTGAAGTTTTTATATGACCTGTCAGTCAGTTAGTTACAACATAGAACTTCGTGCGTACGTACTTACATCAGTTCGAGTTGCCATACCAACCACATTAGCACAAAGATGCAGTTGTCGATTCAAATCCAATAGTGGTGGAACTAGTAAGAGTATAAGCAGTATGTGAAAGATTAGGGTTTGAAAATGTTATTAGAGGAGCATAATCCAATGAAATAAGTTTGGAAAGAGGAAAGGTACGGGGACATGAAGAATTCGGAAGATTAGAACTTCGTAGAACACAATGAATGGATGCACCTTCGCCATTGTAAACGATTTTGAGCAATATCATTCAAGGTCTCTAACCATCGAATGCTATCATCTCGCGCATTCCAACCAGGTAGTCTACACCTACCAACATCGCTCAGTCCAATTGTCGGTGACTTCATGGATTTGTGCCACGATTTGGCATGGCCGCTCCTAGCTTTCTTTCAGCCTACTTCTACGCTATAAAGCAATGCACGTCGGGCATTCGGTGGTTGGACATACGTAACACGTGTCCCAGTCATCTCAACTGATGAAGTTTCACTACTTCATCAATCGATTTGCCATTCTTACGTAGTACCCGTTTCCTAACAACTGCATTACTTACTCGATGGTCCCAGGATATAAGAGCAATGCTTCAAAGACATCTATGATCGAACACTAGTAGCCTACGAATATCCTCTACTGTTATCGGCCATGTTTCACTGCCATAAAGTAGGACGGAACGAACTGCAGCACAATAAACCCGTCCTTTGGTTGCTAGACGGATATCTCACCTACGCCATAAATGACGCAGGTTGGCGAAAGCTAGACGAATGCTTTTATGGAAGCAAAAGTGATAGCAAACAATTACAAATTGAAAATGAATGACAACTAATCATAGTGTAAAAGGCTTTCGAAAAACAGAACTTCTCAGCATTAGGTTGTGGAGATTGTTGAATTTTGATTGAGATCATGAATTGATTGATGTTAGACCACCATTGAAAACCTGGAAGCACTGGACGACGCACTGTTGAGGAGCCCCATGCTATTATGAAACGGCCATCCAATGTTTCCAAGTGTTCATTGGTGATCTAACATTCATTAATTCATTATCTCGATCAAAACAGGACTTCTATTGGAATTCTATACATATTGTGTTGAGACTTTTTTAAACTCTAATCACAAGAGTGTATGATATCGAATAATAAGAGTACCGATTTTTTTTACTTATCTATGTGTAGATGTATGAATGTACACATTAAGGTACTAGTTACTACAATTCACTTTGTACACTATCCACTTGTGATGATGGATTTTAATGCTTCTAATAATTGACTGATTCATAGTTAAGTGGTAGAAGTAGTTGAAAAACACAAAACTGTGAATTCATCATCATTAACAACAACGGCAACACAGAACTATCAAGAAGTAGAGTGCTGTAATCTTGTTAAAGTATCATCATTTGTTTCAAGTACCTTTTTTGCATTCTCGAATTAACTTATTGTTTGTGAAATGATTCAGTGCGAAAAGTTATTTTTTAGCTAGAAAAAGATGTCATTTTAAATATATCAAGTAAGCTAAATCCAAATAAAGCCCCCAAATGCTTTAGTATGACCGAGGATGGGAAGAGTCACCTCTCTTTGCCGAGATACTCCCACATGGTCACGCGTATACAGCCACTGTCAGGAAAGTCCTACTCACTGCCTTCGCTCAAAGTGGATGTTATTTACGATATTGAGAGGACAAAAAGCGAATGTCTGGTGCCGTAACCGGGTTGATGGACATGGAAAGTTCACCTAGGGGGTTGGAAAACCCTAATTCCAAAACAATACTGCACATGGTTTAGATTTGGTCATCCAGGTAGTATCCTAGCCCTCACACGAATTCAATGATTTATGTAACGCATATGTATTTGGTGCCTTGAAAAATCGGATGACCATTTCGCCCTTGTATGGGATCGCTCAGCAGTAAGCATCCATAATCCACAACCAAAATTTGAACTAATGATCTTCGGTCTCACATACAAATGCCTAACATCTAGATTTTGATCGGTTAGTGATTTCAATATGATTCAACAGTCTCCACAATGTTATATTGATCAATGAAGTTGTTAAGGAAGAACATTAAAGAAGTATGAGCAGAATATAGTTAGTAAAGGAAAAAGTGTAATTATGAGTATTCTTGTTTTTGTTGGTGGTGGTGGTGTTGTAATGAATGAGTTATGTGAATAGTAGTAGTCAAGACATCTCAGTGAAAATATCAACTCTAATAACAATCATAATCAATTATAGTAAATCAGTGAGAAGTTATCCATCCATATGTCTGCAGTATGGTTGTATGATCAAGTCTTTTTGACCATTAAATGAGCTAATCCTGTATGTTTGAATGTGATTTTTACTGAAAACTTAATGTTAAACATTTGCGGTTTTTCACAAATCTGTCTACTATGAACGATTAGTTAGACGAATCTCAATATGATGCATAAAAAACACAAATCTAGAGGAACTATCAGCATAAAATGAAGTCTCTAGTGAAAAGTATGCTCTTATATTTAGAATATATCAACTAAATGAACATAGATAACATAAACTCTTCTGTAAATCAAACTCCTCCTTTACAAATGTTGAAGTGTACAACGGAGAAGAGAGAAATAATTAAGTATACTTATCAGAACTATAGAATGGTGAAGAGAGGAATCTAACAAATCCTTTATGTATGCTCAACTCAAGTTTAAAATTATAGTTAACCAAAGCTTATTTTAGAGTAAGTACGTTGGTATATTTGGGGTACCTAACTTGTCGTATACCCTGATGGTATTCTCGTGACTTTCAGGTTGCATGATCTGTCAAGGGTTATGGGACAGTGCAATACGGTATTGTTGTGTGCTAGGTCCAAAGAAAATTGTTTGCTATATGCATACAAATACTATACCGTTAATATTCCTATTGTATTATTGGTATATTTGTTTGCACTCTGTAAATGATGTCAAATGATGAGGTGAAAGTTGAATGTCGTATGTTTATTAAATGTTAAAGAATTAATGATGTGATTAACTGATTTCGACTTGTGTTAAGTCCTACTGATAGACGCTACAGAATGCGATGCAACGGTATCTTTGACAATCAACCTACTTATCTACTACTACACGAGCAAATCAATTGATCTTTGTACGATTGTACAACTTTGAAACTAAACTCATCTCACAGGATTCCTTCAAGATGAATAAAATGATGTATGATTGAATCTTCCCCCCCCCCCAAAGAAATAATTTATGTGATTAACAAGAAAACAAAGAGAAAGAATGAAACAAGGAAAGAAAAAAAAAGAACCGCCCCACAACTTACATTATCTGATGTATCATATTCTAATGCTTGTGATTTACGATGTAAATATTTTAATATTGATAAAGCATTCGATTCACAAATGAAATGAAGAATTGTAAAACCTTGCTAAACAACAACAACAACAGAAAAAGAAAAAAAGAGATAAAAGTAAAAATGACAGATTCATTTTAAAAAAAAATAATTCTCTAATTTATTATATATTAACTCCGCCCGTAGTTCCTCCGGGCTACTGCCGATCACAAGCCCGGATGAAGGAGGCGGGTCGAGCATGGAGTTAGCGACCCCATCCCGTAGAAAACTAACTCACTAATAAAAAAAACGCTGACCAGAAAATATTATTCAAACCATTTAAACTCTGCCCTAGAAGTTGAAGGAAGAATGATGATACCTCATGATGAAAGCCGAGATTCTTCAGAAGTCACGAGGTCGATGCCCCTTCTAACAATCAGAGCAAATATTCTTTCTTATTATATATTATATTGAGAATATTAAATAGGATAGTAATCATTATAGGGTATACTATAAATCACATGGTAATGACGTGAATGATTAATTAAATTCCTTTCTTTCTTTTTTGTATCTTTATTTACCTCACATGATGAATCAAAACTTTAAGTAAACAATTTACAATTGTAGTTTATGAAGATTTCTATATTTAAGTAGAGAAAAAAAATGAACAAAGTTTTGTATCTGTGTTATCCCGAAGAGAATAATAAATGGTAACTATGATGACTATGAGGACTAACTTCACCTGTAGCTCTTCTAGAGTTACTGCCGGTCCCAAGCCCGGGTAAAGGAGGAGGGTTAGGCATGGAATTAGCGACCCCATCCCGTAGAAAAACTAACTCGCTAAAAAAACGCTAACTAGAAACTATGTGGATTATTTATGGACTAATATGATATGTATATTTGTTATTGTATAATTGTTAAGTAAGTAAATTATTCATATTCGTATCCCTCTTATTGTAATCTTTATTTTGACCTATGAACTATCATTATACGATTAACCATTCTTGAGTTATGTCCCAGTGTATTAATTACTGCCTCCCGCATTCACAGGCACTTTCGGCTGGATCTTGTACAAATATTATTTTCTATTTTATGGTGCGATGTGGTCAGTTTGATTGGTATATAAACTCAGTATGCTTGAAATATAATGCTTCATATTGCAGAGGATGTTATTGGTGTTCTGGACTTAACTAGCTAAGCTAGGCAGAAAGCAGGACCGAGAAATACTCTAGACTGCTTGTACGGGTTTTGTGTGTCATTGGTCCGATCGATAATTCGCTGCTCTCTAATTGGCAGTATTATCATGTTGAACATTAACAGGGCATCCGCTAAGTCACAAGTTATAAAAGTATCTATTTATATAAGCTAATGGTGTAAATCCCAATGTGATATATATTAACATTGAGAAGATTTATGTATCTTTAATTGACGAGTCATCATAAGGACGAAATATACATCTTGAGTTTCACTGTCAGTTACTATCTAACATTAGGGTAAATTTATACTTGTACTATTTATATCGGCTGATTGATATGAATGATTGTATTAACTGACAAATTTAGTAAAAGAAATTTTTAATAAAATTTCCATAAAGTTGAGATCATGAATCAATTGAAGCCAGACTACCTATTATGGGACTCCTCAGCAGTGCGCATCGACGATTCCGCACTCGCGAGATTCGAACCCAGGACTTACCAGGACTTACCAATTTCCATAATCTCCGCAAATTCTCTTGTATCCGTTATAATCATGTTCTCATTAGTGATTAGCTTCAGGATGAAGCCCTGGGAATTCTACTGAGAAGTTATGATCAGCAGAATTCAATCATTGTCGGGTGTAAGATAGTTATTCATCACGGCCAATGAATGAGGATTGAATAGTATCGTAAATTGTTTGAAGTTAAACATATGCATCATTGGATGCTGGCTCAATGATCAAGGAGTTAAGGCTTTGTACGTCAAAGGTCATTGGTTTTATTCCTGGTATATAGTGTAAAGGAGTTCCATACTAGGACAAAACAGCCGTCTATTACTTCTCTATTACTTTCAATGATACTCTATAGGTACTTAGTTCAAGAGGCAACTACTACGTATTAAAATAGAACTTTTAGTAGGGATTTGATATCACACCATAAATCTGTTTGTTTTATCCGGTATGTTGGAGTTAACTACACTGGAAACGTTCATGGTAAACAACAATGAAAAATTTCAGTCACTTGAAACGAAAATGGAAAGGGAAATTGCTGTCATATGTAGTATTCTCTCACTATAGGAACTGGAAATCGATGGAAAGTTTAGGGTATGACACACTTAATGAATATTGAAAACATTGAAAATAATCTCATAAGAAATTGTGAGATAATAGAAATGATCTGGATACAATTAAGCCGCTTTAGTCGATCAGGACACAAACAGTCAGAATTAAGATTTCTGACTGTAATGATAATCAAGTAAATAAACAATTTCAATATGAAATTCACATAGTTTGTTTGAATCTTCCCATTGGTGTTGCACATTGATGATGTAAAAGCAAGTGGCTATCAATACTCAGTGGCCATGTGGATAACGCGATGGCGTTTGAAGCAAAAGGTACTGGATTCGAGTCCCAGAGTGAACATCAACTGTGAGATGCAGGGACATCCAGCTGACGAGTCCTAAATAGGACGAAACTGGATTCCACTGCTAGCCACTATCTATCTTCGTTTACTCATTTCAATATGGTTTAATTGTGAATTATCCATGGTCTACCTACTTCGTATGTATAGATTTCTTAGAGATTTGGTCAATATAACCAGTTTGTCACAAGCTATTATTAGGAGGCACACATTGTTGCCAGCTATGGAATCTAAGATGTACCATTTGTGCTGGTAGGTACTTGATTTTAATCTCACTTCGATCATTAGCACCAATTAAGTTAACTCTAGCTAAACGTGAAGAATATGATGAAGTGCACATTCTGGATTTCATTTCTAACCGTAATCCAAACACATCATTACTTTTTCTGTCACAAACTGATAGCAATTAGAATACATTTTTAAAAAAAATGGAAGCTGTGAATAACTGTTTTTCTCTTGAATTTTGAGATAGTCCGAAACTTTGACCATTTACATGCTAATACAGTAGTTTTGAAATCAGACGGAGAGGGCACATAATCCTGGAGTTCTCTATTACTTAGACCCAACATTCGTTTATTCATGGTATACTTCAATATTATTTAATGCTATTTAACAAATAACTGATTCATTTTTAGCATTGTTGACCATCTCAATTGAATAACAACATTCTACCAGAATATTTTGGTAAGCTTTATTAATTAGAATGCTTAATTAACTTTATCTGAAACAGTCAGTCAGTCAGTCATTCAGTTGGAGATAAGAGAATTATTAGGAGTAGGAAGGATTAGAAAGTGACCAACTTGGTCTCGTGTGCTGTTACGGGTATGAGGGCTAATATCACTTCCCGGCTGCCCACACCGTGGAAGGGTATTTCTTGAGGGACCTGAAAAAGAAGTTGGATTAGTGTTGGCCTCAACGACCTGGGAGCGTGATCGCAGTGCTCAAGGGACAACTGCTTGAGGTCGGTCACGCACGGCCTTTTTGTGGGGGATTTTTGACGTGTTAGCTCCGTTCTTCAAAGGACCTTACCACCGGAGACGGAAATCCGTGGGATAAGGCGAGGTGTGCATTTTTAGGGTCGACCTTTTCTAACCACACCTCTCCTTGTGGGAAGGCAGCATCGCTGTCATGCTGGTTGTCTGGAGGAAACACCTTACTGCCGTCACACCTCTGTACAGTCGGCAGTACGACTTCGCCTTCGGACCATGGGATTGCTGCTTTTAGTCTTACCGCTCTTCAACCGACCTGTCTGGCATGGTAGGACCTTGAGGAACGATTGTTCCAGCCAGCATAGTTCGATTGGATCATCACGATAGGCAAGCCCAACCACCACGTCAAGGTAGCAGCAACGGTTACTGGCAGTCTTCAGACAGAGTAAAAGATGGGAGTTCAACCGAAGATTAACAAACGCAACCGGTAAAAAACACTATGCTGGAATGCGCTAAGCATTGATTCTGGAATAATTAGTCATCAGAAAATAGAATGGACCATACAAAATGACGTGATAACACTGTAAAAAATAATGAATGGATAAGGATTATAGTTCAGTTAAAATTACAACCAAGAAAAACTTCCTTCGTTTAAGCATGAAGTGAAAAATAGTAATTGACTTCTATTCCAAGCCATGTTTGACAATATTGAGTTGTTTCATCTCTAAGTACCCAATCAAGAAGTCGTAATAAACAGATGACAGTGCTATAAAGACGTCCATCATACCATGATGGCAAAAATTTGTGATAGTAGTAAGATTCAAAAAACAAAAGCAAAGAAATCTTGATACCAAAACAATGGTGCACATGAACACCAGGATTCTGAGGAAGCGAATACCCTATTAGCCTATTTTGGTCATTGACTAACATGAGACGGAAACTCCTAGCATTTCCTCTCCCTATCTTAGATTAGAATCTCAGAAAGTGGTCTCCAAAGAAAACTTCATACTGTGATTTTTGATCAGCCAATAATTTAGACCACATATGAATAATTATGCAGGATTTCTATGTCCTTGATAAACATGCGTTTGATGTTTATGTAGGTACAGATAATCGAATACAAACTACCAAGGTAGACTAGAATAAACAGATGAAAACAACCGTAACTGTTCATCGAATTAACTATAACCATACACATACTGATTCCTTGGTAAATCTAAATAATTAGTATCAGATATTTTTGAAAATTATGGTATTTTTACTGTTAAAACACTAACTCTGTTCAATTCCAGCTTACTGGTCTATAGGTTAATCGTTTATGTACCAGACTGAAAGTCCTGGGTTCGATTTCTGGTGGCAAGGTTGTGGATGCTTAATACTAAAGAGTCTCATACTAAGACTAAAAGCCGTTTAGTTCCACCAGATTTACTGTGGTGACCTAACTAAGATCAGTTCGTGACAAGATTAACGTGAATCGATTATATTTTACGGCCTCTCATTGGCTGTAAACGGACCAAATTTATATTTGCAATGTTTTACATACCCTGATCAAATCAAATTTAACAGCGCTAGAGAATTATGTTCAACCCATAATGTAATGGAGGAAATATCATACATTGAGGAATACTTTATAAAAAACGGATATCCAAAGAACCGTATTATGTATGAAGTACAAAAAAATGTTCACGGAAAGTTTCAAGCAAACAACTGGTAACCAAAACTTCATCTTCATCCTTCTTGCATTCAAATGGAGAGAAGATTTCAAATAGAATTATTTAAAAGAAACAAGCAGAGCTTCAGAGAAGCCTACCTGTTTTCAGTGTATAATACTAGATGTTCCTTAAACTGGCCAATAGCGGATTAATACAGTTCTAAGGTTGCTTCCACATATATTGTCATTAATTTACATATACTTATGAAAAAAAGTACACAGGAAGGACTGGAAGAAGGACATCTACAAGAGTTTTCAACATAATCCTAAAACTCTTCCTTTAAAATGAAGTTAAGTATTAACAAGTACAGTCACTAGACATTTAATGACTAGTGAATACAACCTGGATATCACCTGGATTCACAATAATCAACAAAAACTACGTATACTCTGCTTTGGAGAGGTTATTACTATTAAGCGCTTTCAACCTGACGTCTGTATATAGAATACTACTGACAAATTCTGTTCATCTATTTCTCACTCTCACCCCCCCCTCCCCCCCACACACAATAAAAGTACAAAAATACTGTTTTGTCGTTAAGATGATTACAAACAAATTTAATCAATAAATTTTGCACAATACAAACTAAGAAATGATGATCAACTTTGACATTGTGCATATGCGATTCATTTTAGAAAAAGTGAAGAGTACCACGAAAAAATCGTTATCATTAAAGGGTTGTGGAAATTGTTGAGTTTTACTGAAATCATGAGTCGATCATTATTAGACGACCATAAAGAACCTGAAAGCACTGGACAGCCACTTCGTCGTAGTATAACACTAGTGAAGTTCAATCGTGTTGGGTGTGAGGCAGTAACTTGCCGAAGACGATTGAATTCAGTTGCAGTATATTGTAAATTCATTAAATTTAGACATCAACAATATTCAATGCCAGACTGATGATCGAGAGATTGAAAATTCACTTGAGAGATTAAAAATTCTGGGTTCGTTTCCCGGATGCACGATGGTGTATGAGCACTACTGAATAGTTCTATATAGCTTATATCAATCTTATCCAAATATTATAGTCATGGTTTCGATATCTTAATCAGTCAAACACATGGATAATTTAGTTGACACCCTAATCTTTCCGATTAGTGCTTATACTCTTACTACCTCTACCACTATAGGATTCGAATTGACAACTTTATCTCTGTGCTAATGTGGTATGGCAACTCGAACCGACGTACGTTCGTACGAATATCTACGTTGTGACTGATTGACTAATGGACTTCATACAAAGTATAATCTTTCATTAAAACATTTAATCTGATTTGTAATTACATTATTATTTTTGTATTATCTTTTGACACTCATTTTTATGCTGACTATTTCATTTGACGTTGCATAATAGTTATTGCAACATTAGGAATTTTCATAGTCATTGAATCATGAATTGATATCAGTTAAACCACCATTTGAAACCCGGAAACACTGGACGACCGTTTAGTCATAGTTTATGAACACTTAGAAGTGAGCATTCAGGATCGTGTATCCGGAAATCGAACCAAGCAGTCTTGCATACTGCTGTAAAGTCCTATACTAGAAAGAAACATCCGTCAAGTGCTTCTACGTCTTCAATGGTAATCTATCTTAGATCAGTTCGTGACATAAGATCTATGATAAATCGATAATCTCCGAAAAAACCCTTGTAGTGATATTAACATCTTTATCATATTTTACAAACACTCCTAAATTCCAGTATGTTGTTGTTATAAATGTTGTATTTGCCTTAACACATGACAAAAGAGACTGGTCAATTGCAGTTTTCAACATCAACAACGAAAAAAGACTCGTCAAAGGTTTATCAAGTTTGAAGTAGTGAGCATGATATCATGTTTGATCTAGATCTTCTACTGGTAAGCACTAATCAACAAGGCGAATCGGCGATCGTGAGATGATATCTCAGACTACGAGACTTAGTTATTTAGGTTTTAATCGCAGATCCCTTGGAGATTGAAGGTACGCCTTGATGATGAGTACCAACCAGGTCCCTAGAATATCACCAAAAGAATATGATGCAAATATACTCACCTTAGTAACTCGATTATGTTTAGCACCCATATTGAGTAGATAAAGAGCTACATTTTTATAATTATTATATACAGCCCAAAATAATGGCGTAATACCAAACTGAAATATGAAAAAAATGATAGTAGTTATTAGGTAACTATTTTCCGTAATTTGATTTGACTATTAAGTACATAGTAACAAAAGACCTAACAAGTTTCATTATATAGATATTTGTATATATTTTGAAGAAAACATCTTCACGTCATTACAATTAACACAGGGTGGGAATTATTAGAAATCATTTTGTATAGTTTAGATTATGAGTCAATTGAAGCTAGACCACTGGGGGAAAACCTGGAAGCACTGGACGGCCGTTTCGTCCTATTGTGGGACTCCTCGGCAGTGCACATTCACGATCCAGCCTCGCGGGATTCGAACCCAGGATCTACCATTTCCCTTGTGATAATGATCATATGCTCACTAGTGACTGGCTCCATGAGGTAATTTCTGGAGTTCTAGTGAGAAGTCGTGGCCAGTGGAGCTAATCCATGTCAGGTAGAGACAGGTATCTACCTCAGTACAATGTAAGTTGGTCGCGCAATTTCGTGGGTTGGTTGAGGTTAGACATTTATACCGCTCGATGCCGACTCAGTGGTCTATCGTTTAAGTGCTCTGGCACGAGACTGTTAGCTCCTGAGTCGAGTCTCGCGAGGAGGGATCGTGGATACGCACTGCTACCGAGAAGTCCCACAATAGGACGAAACGGCCATCCAGTGCTTCCAGGTCTTCCCCCAGTGGTCTAGCTTCAATTGACTTATGATCTCAACTATATAAAATATTTTCATAGTTGAAAGCATAAGTCAATTGAAGCTAGACCATCAAGGAAAATCTGGAAGCACTGGAAGGCCGTTTCATCTTCTTAACAAAAACACCCTTGCTTCATCGAGTTACTACTTTTTATCATCAGAACAAATAATAAACAACAATAAACAATAAAACGAAATGAATGTGAACTTACTTTATCCACTGGATCAACTAATGCTCTACCTTCAACTAATAATTTCACCATTGATAAATTTCCAGATGATGCAGCCAAATGTAATGGGGCTCGATCAAAACTATCTCTTACATTAATATCACATTTATGCCCTTCTATAATTCGACTAACTAAATCAAAACGATTTTGTTTTACTGAAGCGAATAAAATTTGTTCAATTTTTCGTACTAAATATTGATTTAAGAAAAAAGAAGTAGAACGATTGTGTTATAACGGGTTAATTATCAGAAGGGGTTTTGTGGAGATTTAGTATTATTCATAGTTGAAAGCGTGAGTCAGTTAAAGCTCGACTACCATGGAACACCTGGGAGCATTGGACAGCCGATTCGTCCTATTGTGGGACTCCTCAATGGTAGTACGCATCCACGCTTCAGCCTCGTGAGATTCGAACTCAGGACTTACCAGTCTCGAGCCGAAGCCCTTAACCGATAAACCACTGAGCTGGCATCCAACGGTGTTAATGTCTAACTTCAGCTGATCCACGAAGTTGAGCAACCATTCACCAATTGTCTTCAGTGAGTTCCTATCTCACAACAGACGTGGATCAATTGAAGTTAGACATTAACACCATTGGATGCTGGCTCAGTGGTCCATCGGCTAATGGCTTCGGCTAGAGACTGGTAGGTCCTGGGTTTGAAACTCGCGAGAGCGGGTTCGTGGATGCGCACTGCTGAAAAGTCCCATAATAGGAAGAAACGGCCGTCCAGTGCTTCCAGGTTTTCCATGGTAGTCTAGCTTCAATTAACTCACGCTTTCAATTATAGCGGGTTGTTTATACTTAGTCAAATGATTGTGGTGTATGTTAATTATGTCTGTCAATATCAGTAGTATATAACACCAATCAGAAGTGGAATGTTTGGCAGAAGGTTGGGAGGATTGAATCAATGCGAAGAGGAACAAAGAGTAGTTGTTATGCCAACGAAGGAATGATAAAGTTTGAGACAATTGATAGAGGATTCGCAAATGAAGTATTGTATGTATGGTTTGCATATTTTACCAAAGAACTCTGTATTCTTGTAATAAAATACATTGATTGTCTCCACATGAGCTCTCGTCCATTACACGACGATTGATTGCTAATCATTTTCGTGTCAACCGTTATTGTTAGTAGGCACATAGCACAGTATCATATTCATTCATTCCATGTACTTATATTAATTTTTGCATCGGTTGTAGGATGGAGAACCGGCCTCTTGTGGTTTCATAACAATTCAATTTCCAGGGAAGAGTTTAGATGGTTTAAATGATTTTCCTGGTTGCCAATTTTCGGCGAGCTTCTGTTCTAAGGGACAGGTTTGCTATCCGTGTATCCAACACTTCTTTTTTTATCCGGATTTGGGACCGTCAGTATTCCTCTATGAGTTCCAGGTGATCAGATAATTAGTTGACTTATATAATCACACAAGTAATGAACTGAACTGAGTGATAAAAGTTTATCTGCCTGTTGTTTTATTGTTTTATCCTGATTGTAAGATGGCCGTATTGTAGAGGCAATCTAGACGAACTATTCAATACTTGGACCAGGTCGATACAACTGTTCAGTTGATCACATAGGCCCCGGTGAAATCAAACGTCTGTGCTTTTTTCCATTATACTAGATAAATTGTTTGGTTTCTTGATTAGTTTTCCTATTAAAAGTTTTGACTATGATAACAACGTGTATGGTTATAAGTAGCCTTCATATGTTAGCTTGTAAAAGGCAACCGCGTGAAGCATTTATTGATCAAGGAGGTGTTGGGCTAGTTAGTATGTGTCAACTAAGTGTATCCATAATCCTGAAGAATATGATGTTCTTTACTGAATTTAAACTAACTTTATTAAATTACGCAGTCACAGATGCTACATTATATGGCTGAGATATAAACATTGATTGATTATTATGTAATAATCAATTTCGATTTCGTTGTTGCCCACTATTGAGGAGTCCCATTTTACGACAAAACGGTCGTCTGTTGATTACAGGATTTCAATGATGATCCAACTTGGATCGATCCATAAATATAATGGGATTTCATAATCCCAATACCTCTATACAGATGATTATCATGTGCATACTAGTAATTAGCTTCATAAAGGAATTCTTTAAGTTCTAGTGGGAAGCTGTGATTAGTGGAGTTCAATCACGTCGGATGCGAGGTGGTTGCTCACCGAAGACAATATCGTGGATTGATTGAAGCTAGACACCAACTCAGTGGTCTAGAAGTTAAAATTTCACGTGAAAGAGAAAGTCATTTATTCAAACATTGATTTAAGATTCATGGATATGAACTGCTGAGGAGTCCCATACTAAGATGAAGCGACCACAGTTTAAGCCACGAACTGGCTGTAGTTAGACAACCATTTAAAACCTGGGAGCACTGTACGGCTGTCTGATCATAATACGAAACTTATAAGGAGTGCTCACCCACAATTCTGCCATCAGTAAGAGAACCGAGGAACTTCGACTTCGAACAAAAATGCGTAACCTCCACACCACGTAACAGGAATCGGTGTATAAATTTCTTCAAAAATAAACCCGTAAATAAATGAAATTTAAAGTATTGTTCTTTTTCGCTCCAAATTGATAAAGGGAACTTTATGTATTAAGTATTTTAGTTATAATATTTCATGAAGCCTATTTGTACGTCATCTTCCTCATAGGGATACATCGTTTGTTATATCACAGAAAACCGTGACTACGGATGTCATGGTTACCTATAATGAGAAGTCGCATACCAGGGGAGAATAGTTACCCAATGTTTGTTGATTTCCAATGGTATTCTTCCCAAAGTTAGTCTGTAATGTGAAGCTTCAAATTCAACCATCTCTCTGAGATACCTCATAATCACGAAAATAATATAGCTATATACCTATAAAACTACAAAAAGTTGTATTTTATGAATCAGATTGTAATTTATAGAAAAACTGACTTGATAATCATTTGACTACCTTTCTAGTTCTCTAATTGAATATTTTTTTCTTGAAATAGCAAATACCGTGATGTATCACTTTATAGAGGTAAACAAAAATCTTAGAGTACTACAGTTGACTTTATTTGAGGTATGAATGACTTATCTTTAGTGTTTTAACTACCTACGTCAATCTCTAAACATTACTTGATGCTATATTTGGTCAAACATAATTAGCTATACCTAAAATCTATAGTTGTAAAATACATCATGTGATTAGAAGATATGTGCTATAAATTACATGTTTGCTCAAAACTATAGTAATACAAATGAAGTTTTAGAGTGTCGGTTTTGCTGAGATTGTTGAATTAAATGATGATGATGATGATGATGATGATGATGATGATGATGATGATGATGATGATGATGATGATGATGATGATGATGATGATGATGATGATGATGATGATGATGATGATGATGATGATGATGATGATGATGATGATGATGATGATGATGATGATGATGATGATGATGATGATGATGATGATGATGATGATGATGATGATGATGATGATGATGATGATGATGATGATGATGATGATGATGATGATGATGATGATGATGATGATGATGATGATGATGATGATGATGATGATGATGATGATGATGATGATGATGATGATGATGATGATGATGATGATGATGATGATGATGATGATGATGATGATGATGATGATGATGATGATGATGATGATGATGATGATGATGATGATGATGATGATGATGATGATGATGATGATGATGATGATGATGATGATGATGATGATGATGATGATGATGATGATGATGATGATGATGATGATGATGATCGACTGGATCATGAAGATGTTAACATCTGGAGGGAAGCACGGTATACAGTGGACAGGTAGAATGCAGCTGGACGATTTAAACTACGCAGATGATCTGGCTCTTCTATCACGCATGCAACAACAAATGCAGAGGAAGACGACCAGTGTGGCAGTAGCCTCATCAGTAGTAGTTCTCAATATAAACAAAGGGAAAAGCAAGATTCTCTGATACAGCACAACATGAACCAATCGAATTACACTTGACAGAGAAGCTTTTGAGGATGTGAAAACCTTTACATATCTGGGGAGCATCATTGACGAACACAGTGGATCTGATGCAGATGTGAAGATGCGGATCGGCAAAGCAAGAGAAACATATTTACAACTGAAGAACATCTGGAGCTCAAAACAATTGTCAACCAACACCAAAATCAAAAGTTTCAATGCAGATTTCAAGACAGTTTTACTGTATGGGGTGGAAACTTGCAGAACTACGAAAGCCATCATGCACAAGAATCAAGTGTTCATTAACAGATGTTTACTCAAAATACTTTGTATCCGTTGGCCAGATATTATCAGAATCAACCTACTGTGGGAAAGAACAAACCAGGTTTCAGTGAAGGAGGAAATCAGGAAGAAATGCTGGAGGTGGATGGGACTCACATTGAGAAAATCACCCAACTGCGTCACAAGGCAAGCTCTCACCTGGAATCCTGAAGGCCAAAGGAGAAGAGGAAGATCAATGAAGACATTACACCGAGAAACGGAGACAGACATAAGAAGAATGAACAACAACTGTTCACCTACCCTATCAATGATAGTATCAATGATAGTTAGCTATTGGCATAAAGCGAATGGAAAAAAGTTAGGCAGTTAATCTAGTTTATTTCTATTTAAATTCCAATGTATGTAAAAAGCGAAATCTCCAAGCATGCAGGAAATAAGATGAGTATTCGATCGATTATATTGGTGACTAGTCTTAAGTAAATGTGAGAACGAAGTAAAGCACTGTCATGTTGTCGGAAAAAAACCCAGATTGTTTGAATAGTTTGTATTGAGACCAATGTAATTAGGTCGTAATGACAGGAAAGCGGTTGTATAATGTCTCTTTCTTTAGTCTGACTGCCATCAGGACCGAAGATCTACTTACTTATTTACACATCAACCAACGAACTACAGTCAAACCCTTAAATCATGTTCGTCTTCAAACACCTTGGAACTCGTTGAGCGATCAGAAGACGAAGGCTGAATGCAGATCACTCCTCTATTGTACTTAGTTCAATCATGACAAAAAATCATGCAATAATATCCCTGAAATAGTAAGTATAAGGTTTTAATGATTATGGAGTTTCATTGAAATCGTGAACCGATCAATTTTAAACCGCATTTGAAAACCAAGAACCACTAAACGGGCGTTTCGTCCCAGTTTGGGATTCCTCAGTAGTGGGCATCTACGAAACCATATAAGAGAATAAGAGCAAGGATCACAGGTTTTGTATGTAAACACTTAACCTTTAGAACACTGGTCTGATGACTGATGTTGTCATTGTTTAACTTAAATAGATGTATGAAAGTGTACAACCATCTTCCATTGTCTTCGATAGGTAATTGCCTCACACACGACACGGTTCAGCTGCACTAATTACAGCTTCTCATTAGAACTTCAGAAATTTCCTCTGGAAGTTAGTTACTAGATCATAAAATATGACCACATTTTTAAGGATACTACTAATATTTTGAAATGGTGACAAGATTCATTCTATTGTCAAGATTTTTTTGAAATTATTTCTTCGGAGCTGAATAGTTGAATCATTGTTTAAATGTTCCAGTGTGGGTTCACGACATTCTGATATTTGAGAGTCTTGTTATCTACACCAGTGATCATTAAGTGTATCATTTATTTGCATATAAATGATTGAACTAGATTTATAAACCAGTCGTCGATCATCTTTTAATTGGTTGGTCTTATAACATATTTAAAAATACACCAGGACACTTACTCGATTATTTTTTGTTCTATAGAATATCAATGTAAAAATTACAATTGATTCCGAATAATAATAACAACAACAATAAGCTTCTCACTAGAACTTGAAGCTAATCACTAATGGGTATACTCAACATTCACTGGCCGGATACTATCAGTAACAGCGTTTTATGGGAGAGGACAAACAAGCTTCCAACTGAAGAAGAGATTAAGAAAACATGCTGGAAGTTGATAGGACATACATTGCGGAAATCATCAAACTGCATTACGAGGCAATCTCTAACAGGGAATTCCGAAAGGAAGATGAAAAGAGGAAGGTCAACAAACACATTACGCCAGGAAATAGAAGCAGATATGAAAAGGATGAATGTTAACGAGAAAGAACTGGAAAGGATTGCTTGGGACAGGGTTGAATGGAGAATGCTGATGTACAGCCTATGCTCTTCCATGAGGGTTATCACGCGTAAGTTTCATTATAAGCTTTTATTTGACATATTGACTATTCTTGAAATGTTCTCAATTTATTCCTAACAGTTTCTCACAACCACAGCCACTTTTTTTGCTTGATCCGCTATATTTTTTATTCTCTATTTATGGGATGATGCGGTCTAGTTTGCTTATTTGTAAACCCAGTATGTCTGAGATATATGATTCGTATAGCGGAGGCTGATATTGGCATTTTGAACTGAAACGGTTTGGTTAGGGGAGAAGCCATTATCTTGATTGACCAATAAGAATTCTATCATTCTATTTCTATTTACGCCTGTTACTCCCAATGGAGCATAGGCCGCCAACCAGCCTTCTCCAACCCACTCTGTCCTGATAAATCTGGTTGTTAGAAGGTGCATCGACCTCATGACTTCCGAAGGAATTCGGCTTTCGTCATAAGACGTCATAATTATTTCTTCTACTTCCATGGCAGAGTTTTAATGGTTTGAATAATTTTTTTTCTGGTTAGCGTTTTTTAGCGAGTTGGTTTTCTACGGGATGGGGTCGCTAACCCAATGCCCAACCCTCCTCCTTTACCCGGGCTTGGGACCGGTAATAGCCTCCGGAGGAGCTACAGGTGGAATTATAGGCTGCTCGTATTTTTTTATGCGTCATTAGTCTGGTCGTATAAGTCGGTGTCTGATTGGCGATGGTATAACGTGATATAATTAATTAGGCATAAAGAAATAACACGTTTGCTGATAAAATGAGCATCAAGGTTGTCGAAAATAGTTACTTGAGATGATTATAGCAAGAAAATACATTGACAATTTACGGAATGTAAAATACTCACATTCAGGAGGTACATTAATTGTCACCATGCTGCAATCAGAACTTTGTACTTTGATTACCTGAAATAAAAAACGATAAACTACATTGAAATCTATTTGGTAGCATACTGTTTCAAGCATTTAGATAGAATAAACTATAGGCCCTATTTGTTTGATTTTGTTCATGATTAAACAAGTACCAATAATATTTTAATCCAAATACCCATTATTTCATACTCAATATGTAGTTGATGTGACCTATTTTCATTTGACAACTGAGAATCGATGACTAATATGTAGTCGTTTGAGATGGTAGAGAAGATTTGTAGCTCAGGTCTATGATTTTGAGCTGGATGGTTTAGTCGTGGAGGTTTCATCGCTCTTCTGAACGAAGATTTCTATTTGATGTTTGTGCTGATGATGTTGTTCATGAGGTATTTCATGGAGTTCTATTGAAAAGCAGTAACCAGTAGAGTTCAACCATTTCTGTTGGGAGATATCAACTAACTGAAGACATTGGTGAATAATTGCTCGATCTCTTGGATTGGTTGAAGTTGGACAATAATACCGTTGGATGCCGGCTCAGTGGTCTATTGGTTAGGCTCTCACGCGCGAGACTGATGGGCCCTGGGTTCTAATTTCACGAGGCGGGATCGTGGATGCGCACTGCTGAGGAGTCTAGTACCAGGACATAACGGCCATCCAGTGCTTCCAGGTTTTTGATGGTGGTCTAGCTTCAATTGACTTATGATCTCAACTATATAAAAATTACTAAAATCTCCACAAAACCCCTTTCATAGATAGATATACGTGCAAATCTTTTTCTAGATGCGATTTCAGTGTAATAGTTAGTGATTTAACATGGTTCCTCAAATTGAATGACGTGAAATAGATTTTGAATGACCAACCAACTGCTTGAAAGTCAATTGATTCAACTACTAAACCCTCATTACTTACGTATGACTTGGCCATAGTTTGATCAAAGTAAGTGAAACGTCTAAAACATGGATAAGTATCCTGATTTACTTAATAAACTCATTTAATTAGTGTGGATGAAGTCTAACGAAGTAATGATCTCTGAATAGTATATTTCATTGACAATATAACGTCTACTTTGAGAGGAAACTAAATAGAATGACAGGAGTTATATTGAAGAGATAACTAAACAAATGTCCCATGGACAAACTGATCAGAGCCGGAAAATGTAAAACAGTGGTCGAATTGTAGGGTTGAGAATTTATTAAATAAATTACAGTTTGACTTTAAAAGTGAAATGAATCAAATTTCAGATTCGATCGTCACATTTGTCTGATATGGGCGAACTGACAAGTTGAAAATATTAACGTACAGCAGTGTAAGTTTTTAGTTGGCTAAGTAAGCCACAAAAAAAACTAACAATTTTGAGCGTTAAATAAAAGGTTGTTCTGCTTCTTCGGTAACCTTATACATGCCCCCGAATGCCCTAGTACGGCCGAGAATGGGAAGAGTCTGCTCTCCCTCTCCAAATGCTCTAACATGGCAAGCGAATATATAGCCTCTGCCAGGGAAGTCCTGCTCACTGCCTTCTCGTGGCGGGGGTGTTGTTTACGAAATTGAGAGGACGAAAAGCGAATGTCCGGCGCTTTAACCGGGTTGGTGGACTAGGCGAGCCCACCTAGGGTAGTTGGAAAACACTAATTCCAAAACAATGGTGCACATGGGCTAATTCCAGTATCCTGAGGGAACAAATGGCGCACAAATCAATCGTTGATCACCGGCTACCATGGGAATACATCTCCTCACAATGCTCCACTGCCTTGTGGATCAGACCTTTGAGTCAAAGGCTCCGGGTGTGGTCCCCTAAGAAAACCACCTGCTTCAGTTTGGGCACCTGGGCAGTATCACAGCCCTCACACAAATGGAATGAGATTTGTGAGGCACATATATATCTGGTGCTTCCTTGTACCAATATTTATGTATTTAAATAAAATAAAAATAAACCTTATGCATATTGCATTATCGGAAGCCGATCGACTGAATATCAAACTAATATGTTTGACTGTCATGCAGATTCGAACTTGTGAATGATTTATTTATTTAAACACATGAACATTGGTATAAAGAGTGACGAAAGTTTATAGGCATCATGCAGTAAATCATTAAATTTGTCCTTGGTCCGGGATATTGTCAAGGTGCTCTAACCGAAGCAAGTGGTTTTTTTCAGAGAACCACTCTCCAAGATTTTGACCTACAGGTCCAACCTACAAGGCAGTGTTAAGAGATGCGGTCCTATGGTAATCGATGACCAAGACCAGGTTCATTCGCAAATTTCTCCTTTATGTTTCTGGAGCCCATGTACACCACAGTTTCGAAATAAGAGATTTTCAACTACATCAGTTGAATTTTTCAAACCCATCATGAGCTGGCATTCGCTTTTCGTCCCCTAAATCTTGTAAACAACATCCCTGTTGCGAGGAGGTAGTGAGCAGGACTTCCCTGTGAGAGTATTTTGAGACCGAGAGCGAATCACCACCACTCTCGACCAACCCAGGGCATTTTGGACTGTAGAACTTTCAAAGAGAGCCATGTTGAGATTTATCAGCAGTGTATACTACTGATTACATCCGAAATTAAACTACATGTCCTTAAATGTTGTGTCCATTAGGGGATAAAAGAACTAGAAGGAGAAGTAGTCTTACAAGAAAGAATGCGACTGAATGAAAATCAACAACAGTAGTAGGATAGTCTGCTGCTCAACTCAGCTTGAATACAGGCACTCAACGCTTGATCGATCAAATTAGGCAGATAGAAAATACAAAGATGTTTATTTTAATAAAACTCTCTTAAAATTAGTCGCAACTATGTGGCCAGGATGAATCAAACAGGGGACTTACTAGATGACCATGGCTAAATGAATAATCTTTTTTCACAAGAGTTCCCCTAGATCTATATTTGACCTGCCGTCCATTCTTGATACATTCTGTGGCTTTTCTCGTTTTTGTCGATACATCACTTAGTCATCGTATAAGGTATTTCATAGCATTTAGGCATTTATTTGCTTACAGTAGTAAAGATATGGTTTCTGGGTTCAATCCCTGTGAAATACATCAACGTTTCTTAGAAAGGAGTGTCAGAAATGAGATAAAAGTAACTGACGTACCAGTGCTTTCCGATCTACAGAGATTCATCAACAAATCATGCTATTTGAATAAGCGATTTGTGGAGATTATTCAGTTTGTAGACGATTTACATCATAAATTGATTTCCGATACACAACCATTGTAAACCATTGAGTTTTCTGCATTAAGATTCTCTTACTGAAAAGTATATAACCCATAAGCTTCAAGGTTTCATTTATTCGAATGGTAATTTCGTTCAGTTCATATCGTCTCTTTCAATAGAATCATCATTCGACGAAAATGATTTAAAACGACTTTCAGGGTTTTGATTGAAATTCAGAATTAAATGACTTTTATCTTACAGCGCATGTAAAAGAGTAGTTGAGATGCATGTGTATGGCACACTAAATGTACAAACGTCTTATGAAACACTCTACTTTATCATCGAGTGGAAATAACCGACTAAAGCTCGTCAAATATTTAACGCTGTCCGTTGAGATTATGCTTAACACGTCAACTGGTCATGGTTTATTTCAGTTAATGTCGTTTACAGTAAACTCTTAAAGAAATCGCTTTATCAGTGGTTCATTGAGTTGTAGTGACCTGCTTTTCTCGACAAGAACGCGATTGGTATAATAGAAACAATTATTATAATAACCAATTGTACCAGTGATTGTTTTACTGTACTCGTTTTTGTTTAACTGTATCAAAGTCACCTTTCGTTCCGCTATCCATCTTGTTGGTTCAAACTTTCTTACGCTCTGCTCTTATTGCCTGTACTCTTTGGCACGTCTCAGTATTCATTCGATACTACGAGATTGTCAATAAATATAATCTATCTGGACCAGTTACAGTCTTCTGGTTTACGAGTTATCAAAGGGACCAAGTCGTTTTTGGACGCGTAATCTTATTGTAGTGTTGACCATAGTCAATCAAGACTCGAAGCCATCTACAGAGTAATAGGCGAGCTAATAAAGTATGTATTCTACTGTTGATAACATTTTCTAAACATCAATTTATCATCATCATCATCAGAAAACTTCATTTCACCAATCTTTCAGTGGATTCATTAATATGGATGTTATAAACAATGATACATATTCCAGATAATTGTGAATGGGTGATAGAAGGACCCTAAATGAACTTTTCGCTTGAATATACTAACTATGAGATAAATGAAGTTGTGTACCGACATTTCTACAAAATTAAGATTGAAAAACCGACAATAAGCCTAGGAAAACTAATAAAATCCTTTAAACCGTTAAATGTCAATCCGATTTCATCATTATTATTGCGAAATATTTTTGATACATATAGACTGTCGGTTGATTGGCTCCAAAGTTGCTTCAATGTCAATAGTGATTTGTCCCTATACACTAGAGTTGAATAGTTTTTTTATTTCAACTTTTCAACAGAACTTTCCTTTTTACATCATGGTTTGACAAGTGTTGAGAACATGGAAACATGAAACAATTATCCTTTATTTCTTATATCCTAGTTGCTATGACCTGTGTTGTATGAAGACTTGAAATCATTGGAAATTTTTACAGTTATTAAAAAAGAATCTAGTTCAGCGAATCCATATGTCATTGACGAACAAAAATTTTGAAATGTTAAGCGGCTGTAGATAGTCATCAGGAAAAAATCTTTGGATGTGGATTGTTTCTTATAATTGACATTCGTTGGCAAGTCACTACTATAATCGTAAACAAACTGATACTTTTTATAGTGTAGTGAACAGAACACAAGTGCGGACAGTCGAATGTATGTTAGTACAGTATTACAGAATATCACATATAATGAACAGTTAATTTGCAAAATAACAATCAATTGTGTCAATTTGACTGTTTGTTCCGCAAATATCAGTCCATAGTCTCGGATTATAATTGTTCATGCATTTTCGTATCGATTTCGTGCCGTTCCCGTTCTTTCTTTATCGATCTTCTACTGAAATACATTCAATGCATGACTATCACCATATACTACTTATGTGGATATCAGTAACCGACAACACAATAGGACTCAACCTTCATTGAATAATATCTTTGTGAACTTGTGTAATATGGACTGAAATATCATGGAGGTCTTAAGTTTTAAAATTTCAAAGATAATAAACCGAAAGTAATTCACAGTCATTAAATGTTTAGGAGAGAAAACAAAATATATCAACCTAAACTTCTTAATCAAAGGAAAACCTAAGAACACATTACACCGAGAAATGGAGACAGACATGAGAAGAATGAACAAAAATTCGATAGCACTAAAAAAGGAATGTCCAGAATAGAGTGAGTGGGATAAAGAATGCTGGTCGGCGGCATATGCACCATTGTGAGTAACAGGCGTAAGTAAGTAAGTGGGTGAGTAAGTGAGTAAGTAGGTAAGTAAGTAAGTGAGCGATTATGTAAGTAAGTAAGTAAGTAAGTGAGTAAGTAAGTGAGTAAGTAAGTAAGTAAGTAAGTAAGTAAGTAAGTAAGTAAGTAAGTAAGTAAGTAAGTAAGTAAGTAAGTAGGTGGGTAAGTAAGTGAATAAACTTCTCAATCAATCATATTCATACTTACCGGATTCTTTTTATTTTTCATTATTATCTAATCAAACAATTCAATAGAGATATATATAATCCAGATAATACATTGACTTCACATTAGATTCATATATAATGAATGTTGTAATAATGTTATCGATGATATTATAGATTAAAATGAACACATTCAATAGAATATCTTCATTATTATTCATCAAGTATCATCAAAATGATTTAGTTTTTGTGTAAAGTATTAGTTTAATGAATTAATAAAAAAATAGAATTCATTTTGGTTGAGTATTGAATAGTGAATAGACATATAGCACTTAGATAGTAGTATCTATGCATTGATTGAACTAATCATTTCTTTATTTTAGTATACTTATAGAGAAAGAGATGAATTGTAGTTGTAGCTGTTTGTTTGTTGTTTACTAGATCACATGATTTGAAGTAAATTACAACATAACCTAAATGAAAAACAATAGTACTTTATTAGTACCGTTTTTATTTTTCTTTCTTCATTTAAACAAAATACAATGTAATCTAATATAGATGTAGACTGTGTACTTTTAATCAGAATAATAGTTCATATGGTGAATGTTATGTCCTGGCGAAGACATGAGTATGGGTAACTCTCCTGGGACCTATTAATGGACGATTATTCTATATATATATATATTCTTATTGTATAACTATTCAGTAATTAGATTGTGTTTATCTATATTCATCTTATTATAAGCTTCATTTTGACCTATAGATTATTTTCATAGTTGAAAGCGTTAGTCATTTGAAGCTACACGACCAAGGAAAACCTGGAAGCAATGGACGGCCTTTTCGTCCTATTGTGGGACTCCTCTGCAGTGCGCATCCACGACCTCGCTTCGAGAGATTCGAGATTATTATTATACGATTTACTGTCTTGAAATTATATTCAGTTTATTGATTATTGTCTCGCACATTCACAGTCATATTTGACTTGATCTCGTACAAATATTATTTTCTATTTTATGGTGTGATGAGGTCTGTCTGTCTGGTGTATAAATCGAGTATGCTTGAAATAAATGATTCGAATAACAGAAGCTGTAATTAGCGTTTTGAACTCAAATGGAAGGCTTAGGTGTACAAGGGTCCAATAAAGACGCTAGACAGCTCATACTGGTCGAATGTCATTGTTTTGGCACAGTTCTATGACTGGAAAAGTCGTATTCCGGTTTGTGAATAAATCACGTTCACATTTTAATTTTCAGTATAAAGGAAGTATATTTCATATTTTAAATCATGGACTAATCCTAATTAGACAACTGTTGAAAACAAAGATGTTCTGAGAGGTTATTTTGTTCTGGTATATGACTGTTTTAGCACTGAGAACCTGTAACTTTGTCAATGTCCAAATTAAGAACCTTCAAGACTTGAGGTGGGCACTTAACTCAATGGTCTTACTTAATTCAGTTCGTTTTGTGAATCGTGAAAACGAAGAACATCTATAAACAACTCGAAGTTCATGATGTCTTTTAGGATTTTAAGGACATTATGTTTCTATAATTTAAACTTAAACATAATCTTTAGTATCTTATCAGAAGTTAATTGTATCGTCAAACCAATTAGATTTAAAATGATGCCTTCTGGATTTTAGAGTGAAATTCAAAACACAATGATGGACAAAATGTGACATAAAAACAGCTATTCATGAACTAGATAAAACTTATGATTATTTAGTTACTATGACTCTTAAAAATGATAAAAATGGCAAGACCTAAGCCGTCAGTCATCCAGCGGTGTTAGTGTCTAACTTCAACCGATTCACCAAATCGAGTGACACATCCACCATTATCTTCAGTGAGTGACTATCTCACTGATTCATTTCTCAGTAAAAAAATTGATAGAAAACAAATATAAGTGAGGTGTAATTAATATTTCTACATACCTTATTGTGTTAATTTAGATGTCCTTAGGATCCCCAAATGCCCTGGTGCGGCCGAGAGTGGGGAGAGTCTGCTCTCCCTCTCCAAATGCTCTCACATGGTCACGCGTATATAGCCCCTGTCAGGGAAGTCCTACTCATTGCGTTCTCGTGGTGGAGGTGTTGAGAGGACGAAAAGCGAATGTCCGGCGCTTTAACCGGGTTGGTGGACACAGTAAGTTCACCAAGGGGAGTTGGAAAACCCCGATTCAAAACCAATGGTGCACATGGACTCCAGTATCCTGAAGGAACAAATGGCGTATGAATCAATTGTTGGTCACCGGCTACCATGGGACTGCATCTTTTCACGATGCTCCACTGCCTTGTGGATCAGACCTTTGAGTCAAAGGCTCCGGGTGTGTCCCCCTAAGAAAACCACCTGCTTCAGTTTGGCCACCCGGGAAGCATCACGGCCTTTTCACTAATCAAATGAGATTTGTGTGGCGCATATATATCTGGTATTTATGTGTTAAATACAAATTTAAAAAAGCTTATTTCCTTGTATTAAGTGGAATCATCTCAAACTCATCTATGCTTCATGACTAACCATTTAATCTTTATTTCCTATGAAGAATAGTCTTCCTTTCTAAACTATATTTGTTAGCAGTGCCCATATCTGTATATGTTAGCCCACTATTAGGCAATCAGAGCCATTCGGGTAATTAGAGAAGACTCTAGAATATTCTTGTATTAAATGAATAACATACTACCATTCTTCTTATTGTGATTCACTCTTATTCAACTTACTTTATTTAAGAAACAATTACGCACATGCCCAAGCCGTGTTCTAGTTTTGGGGATGAATGGAGTAAAGTATCAGATTAATACTTAACAATAAGGATGTATCTGATTGGGATAACACAAGACAACAACACCAAAACTGATGTGATAATCAGTACGAACAACTAACTGCCTTCGAATTTGCTCATCAACTGACCATTATTACACTCTATTTAATTGATGTAAACTGAAAAATAATGCATTACCTAAAAATAAAGCTGGAAAGCGGTTGTCTTTAAATATTCACTCATTTCATTCAGATCAAAAACATATACACCGCACTTGATGAAGATCAATATTAAATGGTACTGGACTGGCATACATTTATAAATGATGGAACGTTGTATAATAATGATAATAAATAATAATATGGTTGAAATCATCAATCAATTGAAGCTAGACCACCATGGAAATACCTGGAAACATTGGACGGTCGTTTCGTTCTATTGTGGGACTCCTCAGTGGCAGTGCACATCCACGATTCTGACTATATGCTCACTAGTAAATGGCTCCATGAGGTATTTCCTGGAGTTCTAGTGAGAAGCAGCAACCAGTGGAGTTCAACCAGGTTTGTTGTGAGATAATAACTCACTGAAGACATTGGTGAATGGTTGCTCCTCAACAGTGCGCATCCACGATCCCGCTTTATTCAATGTTAAAACTTCTGTCACAGCAAGTATACAGAACATATTTTTGATTTGTATTTTTAACTCTAAGAATCTAGTAGTCGTATTCAATTAATCATGTTTTATATCAGTTCAACTGATACAAGTACTTCTCCCATTGATATATGTGAGATTCTTGAATTTCAATAATGTTTGTCTCTCATCTATTTATGGGATAAATAGAAAGGAAAGTATCCCAAAGAACTTCAGTGTTTTTATTCGAGTTCAAACTAAATAGATTAATTATAGTAATTATACAGTGAGAACATAGGTAACGTAAACTTTTAAGTAGGTTACTGTGTTATCTTCTACATATCTTCAGTCCTTTTTCATATCCATTCTTAAGCTAAACGACAAGAAAAAAACATTAGCGAGAATTTACAGAAAAATATGATAGGATATTAGTTGTCTCCATACACTCGACCGTAGCTGTTACCTTGATGTGGTGGTCGGGCTAGCCTATCATGATGACCTAACCGAGCTATATTGGTTGGAACATATGTTTCTGTGGGGTCTATCATGACAAGCAGGACCATTGGAGAACGGTAGGACTAAAAGCAGCAACACAAGGTCAGAGGACGAAGTCGTACTGCTGACTGTACAGGGATTTGACAGCAATAAATTGTTTCCTCTGGTCGACCTTAAAAATGTAACACCTTATCTTATCCCACGGATTTCCGTCTCCGACGGTAAGGCCCTTTGAAGAACGGAGATAACACGTCAAAAATCCCCCACAAAAAGGTTGTGCGTGACTAGCCTCAAGTAGTTGTCCCTTGAACTCTACAGTCACGCTCACAGGTCGTTAAGACCAACATTAGTCCAACTTCCTTTCTAGGTCCCTTTCACGGTGTGGGCAGCCGAGATCTAATAATCTTTCCCATGAAAACTATGTTTAAATTATATACATAATATTAACTGAATATAGGTACTTACCTTCAAATCAGTTAGAAGAAGGTTTAACATTATCAAGCCCCAGTAGTTTCCATAGAAAACTCCAAGAATTTCTATGAAACTGGTTAGTTCTTTAAATAAGAACTATGGAATTATAGTTATATTGTATTCATAAAAATTTCAATGTCTTATTCATCTGAAATTTATGTATGTAATGCACATGTAAAGAACATGTGACGATTATTGATTAAACGCATATTTTTCAAGGTCAGATATATTGAATTCATCATAATGGCCAATCACGATCAAAGTTAATACGATTGAGTTCGAAGAATTCATGGTGAGATTATTATTTTATGGATGACCTTGGAGCGATGATAAAGTGACCTTGAAAGTGTCTACCTAATTAATAATTAGGATCAAATAAAGATTTGATGTAGATGTATGAACATAAAAAAGGATCAGAACTGAGGGCATTTACGTCTCATTGCAAAAGAGATACTTTCATACTGGTGTGTTGAAATCCATTGAGTAATATTTACAACTACGATTCATTCACCCACAAAGAAATCATAGTACCTTAGTATTGCTTACATCGGAGACTGTTCCAGAATGTCGTAGATTTCTGCTGAGAGTTATGAACCGAATACTGACTTATATATTCAAGCTCAACCCAAAAATACAACTGTCCAAACATTAAGCAAAGATGGAGAGTGGGTGGCAGTGGAATCCAGGACGCGCGTTTCGTCCTGTTTAAGACTC